ATTGCGGTCAGCTGCAGTCAGCTGCAGTCTGCTGCAGTCTGCTGCAGTCAGTGCAGACAGCTGCAGTCTGCTGCAGTCTGCTGCAGTCAGTGCGGCAGTCTGAAACAACCCTTACTTCAGGATATTAAAAACAGCGCGACTGAGTGACTCAGGGCGGCAGCTGCGCCAGATTCGCGCCATGCGGGCAATGATGTGCGTCGCCTTCGGGGGACGCCCTAGCAGCTTGACGAAAATCCTTAATAGTCCGATGTGACACGACTGATTCGTACAGTCCCCGGCGCGTCGCTCCGCCTGACGGGACAGTGCCCTCGTCGTTTGCTGGGGTTGATCGCCGCTGCCAGCCGGCACCGCGGGAGGTGACGATGGGAGTTTGCCGGCCGACACAGAGGAATAATGACTACACAAAATATGTATGGATAAAAGGTGAATTAATGATATTTGTCGTTTTCTTCAAAATACTTGAGCTTTAGCTTGTTTTAGATCTTGCAAAATCAGTAGAGAACGCAATGCAAACAGAGCGACTGAGAATCATGTAACAAACTACGACATTTGTTTAGGGGATAGTTTTCATAATCAAGAAGATCAAACTGTAATGAAGCAAGTGCGCGGAACGCATCCGAATAAGAACCTGAAACTCCTCATGGTCGGGATCGTAGAATCATGTAACAAACTACGACATTAGCTAGGGCTACCTGCCCCCGGACGAGGCAGTCCAAAGAAGCGAGTCCAGAAAATCCGACTAGCGACGATTAATATAGGAACGCTGACGAGCCGCAGCGGGGAGCTGTGTGATAGGCTGAAGGAGCGACACATCGACATCGCATGTGTACAGGAAACGAAATGGAATGGGAGGCAGGCTAAGGACATTGGCGAGGGATATCGTTTATACTACACGGGAGATAGCAGCCGCCAGAATAGAGTCGCGATCATCGTCAGCGGTAGATACCACGAATTAGTGACCGAGGTGACGCGCATTTCAGATAGATTGATGGCTATGAAGATCGATGCAGATGATGCCACGCTTCGAATAGTCTCGTGTTATGCCTCGCAATCCGCATGTACCGAAGCCGAGAAGGACGTGTTTTGGAGGGACTTCGACATCCTGCTAAGGACATTTGACGCCGCAGACTACATCTTCGTAGGAGGCGATCTTAATGGGCACGTTGGCCACGAACACGATGGATTCAAGCGATACCATGGTGGAAATGGATACGGTCAGAGGAATGAGGATGGAGAACGCATCCTGGAAGCCGCAGAAGCACACGACTTAGCTAAAGCGAACACATTTTCCAAGAAGCGGGAGTCGCATTTGATCACGTACGCGAGTGGAGACCGCTCAACTCAGATCGACTACTGGATGCTGCGCCGATGCCATTTGCCGATGGTGATGAACGCGAAGGTTATACCCACGGCGACACATGCATTTGCGCCACAACACCGGTTGCTCGTATTGGATCTTCGACTGAACATCCACTTACATTCACGAGCCAGAAGGACGACCACAAAGAGGATCAAATGGTGGAAGCTTCCCGAATATCGCCAGCAAGTCAGAGATGCTCTTAACGATTTGAGGGTGTCGACGGATGATAAGGAGTCGATTGAAAAGCAGTGGAATCGGATTATTTCGCAGATACGATCGAGGGCCGAGACAATCTTGGGAACCACCAAGTCAGGACGCCGTTTGTAGACAAGCAGATCCCAGCAAGTGATCAAAGAGAAGAAAGAAGCCTTCAAAGCCTGGCAGCGCTCACACTCAAATGAGGACCTCCGTCGATATCGAGAACAGAACTCGAAGGCGAAGCACGCGGTAGCCGAAGCAAAGGAAGCACACTACAAGAGACTTTACGACGAGTTGGAAGGACCTGCTGGAGCTAACAAGGTCTACCGACTGGCCGCTGCACGACATCGAGCGAAGCAGGACATCGACCACGTCATGCACATTAAGGAGGCAGATGGCAACCTCCTGACGAAGCCGAGGGCAATACTCAAGCGGTGGAGTGAATACTACAAAAGTCTATTTGATGAGGAGTTCCCGCACCCGTTAGTACCGCAAGGAGCCCCCACATTTGGACCGGTATCTCGGATCGAGGAGGCAGAAGTTGTGCAGGCACTGAGGAAGATGTCTAGCGGAAAAGCTCCGGGACCCGACGACATACCTGCTGAAGTGTGGAAGATGATGGGGCAGCGTGGAGCGGCATATCTCACATCGCTCTTTAACCACATTATCGTCGACGGACAGTTGCCGCGAATTCGGACTACGAGTGTCACAGTCCCTATGTGGAAGGAAAAGGGCGACATCAGCGACTGTTCAACATACCGACCAATACGCTTGCTATGCCACACGATGAAGATCTTCGAACGAGTCATCGACGCACGCATTCGAAGTATAGTGGAGGTCACCTCGAATCAGTGCGGCTTTGTAAAAGGATCTGGCACCATCAACGCCATCCACGCAGTACGATTGCTAATGGGAAGGCATTTGGAGTAACGGATTCCGATTCATTTCGCATTCCTGGATTTAGAAAAGGCATTTGATCGGATACCACACGGGCTGATCTGGTATGCGCTGAGACAACATGACGCCCCAGAAGAGTACGTTCGCTGGATCAAACTCCTCTATACGAACACGACGGGTGCCATACGCTGTGCAGTGGGAACGTCAACGCCATTCCCAATCCAAGTCGGAGTACATCAAGGATCGGCTCTATCACCGCTTCTCTTTATACTGTGCATAGACATGGTGACCAAGGACATTCAGCTGCCGCATCCGTGGACGCTCCTTTACGCAGACGACGTCGAGCTAGCAAGCGGATCGAGACAAGAGCTTGAAGAGGCGACTGTGAGATGGAAGACACTATTAACGGGATATGACCTACGATTGAACGTAGCAAAGACCGAGTACCTGGAATGCGGAGAGCAAACCGACGGCACAATAAGCATCTATGGGCAGCCGCTGAAGAAGGTTACGATATACAAGTACCTGGGCTCCCGAGTGACGTCGGATTGCGACACGATTACTGATGCTCGTGCTAGGACGAACGCGGCGTGGCTAAAATGGCGGCAAGTAACAGGAGTACTCTGCGACCGACAAATTCCGTTGTATCTCAAGTCGAAAGTGTATCGGACTGTGGTAAGGCCAGTCGTACTGTACGGAGCCGAATGTTGGCCAGCAACCAGGAAACACGAGCAGATCCTGAGCACGATGGAGACGCGAATGATAAGATGGATACTTGGCCTAACGAGAAGAAACTGCGTCACGAACGATGATGTACGACACATTTTCGGAGTTGCACCTATCGTGGATAAGATGCGAGGTGCCAGATTACGATGGTACGGTCACGTTTTACGAAGTGAAGATAATACAGTAGCAAAAACAGCACTTTGTCTAGATCCACAGGGGAAGAGACCACGTGGCCGTCCGAAGCAACGCTGGTTGGACACCATTCGAAACGACCTGCATGTTGCAAAGCTCAAACCACAAGAAGCAGCTGATCGAGTCAAATGGAAGCAAAAATGCACTACTGCCGACCCTGCCCCCGTGGGACAATGGCGAAGATAAAGAAGAAGAAGAAGAAGAAGAAGATTATTCCTCTGTGTCATTACTAATTTGGCATCTCACCATCTATTGTTATGTTGTTTTGGAAACATGTTGCGTTATTTGTTTATTGTTTATTTACTTTTAGTAAACGGTTTAATTACCCAAGCTTGAGTTGAGGTACGCGACATCACGAGTCAGCCTGTGTGGCATCTATTATTAACGTTGGTATTAGAAGATTATCGTTCTACATACATCTCGTATTTAACTACATTATGGTTGTTATGATTCTCCTACGCTTGGGTCCGAGGCTTGATTTTCCTTAAGCACTTCGTTTCTTTTTTTTTGCTTCTATTTTATTTTTCATCTCTCAATTTTCGCTTTCCAGATCCTCGCTTTTGTCCATGCGCTTCACTGTCCTTTTCGTTTGACGGTTCTATGCATGCGACTCCGCCTGTCTCAGTTGGTGTTTACTCTGGGCTGATTGTGGTCGAGGGAATGCAAAAAATGAATGTTTTTTGAATTTTAGTTCATGTTGGCTCAGATTCCACCACTTCATTCATTGGATTCCACCACTTCATTCATTGGACCTTGGTTCACATCATTGCCATTTGTTGTTTGGCTTTTTCAGCTTTTATACCTCACACTTTAGTTTGGGTGTGGTTCCATCTCATCACCTCCTTAGGTTAGCTAAGGAGGTGATGAGGTTAGCTTGTTTGGGCTTGAAGCTTTTGCATTGTGCAATCTCTTCCGGAGTTCTGTTCTCTCCCCAGAGTTTGATTGGGCGGTTTACCAATATTACCAATACACCTGCTTCCAAAATACACATTTGCTTATTTTATTTATTTATTTATTTATTTATTTATTCAATACGCACAAGGCGTCCACATGGAACCAGTAAAGAAAATAGTCAGAACCTTACAGTAATTAACAAGCAACAAAAGAAAAAAGAAACCATTAACAGCCCAAGTCCAGCTCTAGATATGTTAAGGAATAAGGGGATTAAGCTTGTTTGGACCTTGTACTGTATCAGTAGGATGCTCGGTGGAGTCTGTCTCATGCCCCCTGCTTGCAGCAAACTCAGACGATCGCCAGGGGCAGGCGGGCACCGGAAAATAGATTGCTGATCTCTCGCACCCCTCTCGCGGATTTTTTGGAAAGCAATCAGGACTTTTCGGAAGACCGCTTGCTGAGTTCTCGATTCCTCAGAGATTCAGCAATATACCTGCAAAAGATAAGGGCGAAAAAAAATCAACAGGCGGTCTCTCAAAAGTCCGTTGACTCAGCAAGCGGTCTTCCGAAAAATCCTGATTGCTTTGCAAAAAATCCGTGAGCGGGGTGCGAGAAATCAGCAATCTATTTTTCCGGTGCCCGCCTGCCCCCAGCGATTGTCTGAGAAAGTGCTCTGCGATTATTCATCTTAAGCAACTGTATTTGCGGGGACCATATAGGTTGACAAAATTGCCCGACTGATTCTGGGAAGAGAACAGAACTCCGAGATAAGAGATTATGAAATAAAAAAATGAACAAGCCTAACAAGCTATTCCCAAGTAGCAGCGGAATGGATGAACCGGACCCGAACCAACACGTAAATTAATGACCGAAACAATAATGAGTTGAAGTTTCAATGACCGCAAATATAGTAACTGAGAAGTTATCACTAGGAGACCTTCTACGCGATAAGTGGGAGACTGATAGAGTTAATCAGTTCATGGTACTGGAGCAGGCCAAGCGACATGCGAAACACCGAGCGTAAGAAAAGTACGACAGGCAAACGGCAGCACTATACGAATGATAACGAGAAGCAGTCATCTGGAAGAAAATCAGTCAAATTCAACTTCTTGAGTCTACGTTTGAAAGTAAGGCTATCTGGAGAAGACAGAATTTCTTTAGGTAAACACTGGAGGAACTTTGAAGTGCGTGCAAAAAAACTGTTTTTCGATAAAGAGTTTAGTTGTTTACGCCTACCATTTAGATGTAAATAAATAGAAAACCCAGTGGCCCTTCCGTGACTAGGCCTGAACACCCAGTAATTAGAAGGCCTTAGTTTAGTCTCGCCTTTAAAAATCCTGAAAGCAAGTATTATATCACGCACGATCCTACGATGTAGAAGAGTTTTGAAGCTTACAAGGGAAGTTCACTTAGTCGAAGTGGCGATTCGGAAGGAGATTTATGCCAGTGGATAGAGCTTAGAAAGCTGATCTCAGATATACCTTCTATATCTGCGATGCGTCGTTCTGAAAAAAGTTATAAGCTTTTCTAAAGCCAAATTTTCGTGCATTTTGAGTCGTAAAATCATGATAATCGTTATACAAAAGTGTGCAAGCTTAAGCAAACCACCCAATAAGCATTGTAGGTCTGATTCGAGTTTACCCGAATGCTATCGAATGTTTTTCGACCATGTTGTTCATCCACAGGTCATCATTTCATTCCTAGATCACACTTTCATTATGTATACAAAAAAGCCCCACAACCTCCATCTAGAAAAACGCGTCCCGTAGGAAACTTTTTGGAAACTGCCATTGGATAGGACGTAAAATGATGTTCTCGAATATATCTTCATTATCTGCGACGCGTTCTTCTAGATGGAGGTTATGGGCTTTTTTGTACATACATATAATGGAAGTGCGATCTAAGAAGCAAATGACGCCTGTGAATAAACAACATGGTCGAAAAACACTCTAAAACGTTCGGATAAACTTGAGCTAGACCTACAATGCTTCCTAGGTGGTTTGCTTAAGCTTGCACACTTTTGTGTAGCGATTATCATGATTTTGCGACTCAAAATGCGCGAAAATTTGGCTCCAGAAAAGCTCATAACTTTTTCAGAACAACGCATCGCAGATATAGAAGGTATATCTGCGATCAGCTTTCGAAACTCTATCCACTGGTATAGATCTCCTTCCGAATCGCCACTTCGACTAATTGAACTTCCCTTGTTAGGACTTTCATTCGTTCATTATAGCTTGACAGCGATCGTGGATAGCCACGACTGGGATAACATCTGTAGAAAAGCAAGCGAGTAAAAACCTTCTGGACGTTCTCCAGGGCCTGTTTATGCTTCCTCAGAAAGGGGCTCCAAACCCGACTTGCATATTCTACAATAGGGATGACAATGCTTTAAAGAGTTTCAGTAATATTTTTGAATCGGCTACTCTAATATTACGAAAAATGGTGTACAGAATTGAGAATGCACGAGAAGTAACATTTGAAATTTGCGAGTCTGGTTTCAGGGTGCTATCAAATACAACACCTAAGTCTTTGATAGATGTTTTATTCACCAAAGAAACTCTCCATGCTCATAGTGTTCATCACTTGCAGTAGCACCAACATGGAATACAGAGCTTTTATTTATATTTACTAAAATGTCCCAATTTGTGCACCATTCAACCATGTTATTGATGGCCCGCTGCAGAGTATCTTTGATTGTTTTCTGATTATCCCTATTGTATATACCATAAATTTTGATTTCGTCGGCATATATGAGTACATGTATGTCAGGATGAGTTTTCAGAATCTGGGGTAACTCAGCAGTATAGACTAGGAATAGCAAGGGTGAAAGAGCCCTGCCTGCGGAAACCCGCTTATACATGCGGAAGCCCGCTTATACAAGGAAAACGTCCAGATTGATCTCTTCCCACTCGAACCGTCATATACCTAGAGTGTAGATATGATTTTAGCCACTCAAGCAGAGGCCCCCTGATACCATAGTGTTCAAGCTTATATAACAATTCACCATGACTTATACGTTCGAAAGCTTTCGACAAATCGAAGCATATAATGTCCACTTCCTTCTTATCAAGGATGCCTTAATCCAGTCACGATTGTAATCCATTAGTTGGGTTACAGTGGATGCACCGCTGACAAACCTATGTTGTAGCGGGGTTGAGATTAAACCTTTCCAGCCAAGAAAGAAGTTTGTCACGAATTATCTTTTCCAAAACTTTACAAGGTGTTGAATTTATACTTATAGGATTCTGAATTCTGACACAGATTGAGGTTTGGGAACTTTTGGAACTGCAGTGACTGTTCCTTCTTTCCAAATGTCAGGTATTTCCCCACAAATAAAACTAATATTAAAAATATGTGACAAGGGGACTGAAAGCTCTCTTGCACAACGTTTGAAGACAATCTGAGGTATGCCATCAAAAGGTTCAAATGTGGATTGTTTTAGGGTTCTAAGAAAGTTTTCGACAATAGAAGGCATGACCATAGGTGTTGAGCAGGTATGGTTCAGAGGTGCACCCAATCCTTTAGTGCGAGGAGTACTTGTGGAAAACGTATTCGCAAAAAACTCGGCTAATGCTGAACCCTTGGACTGGTTTGTTAGACAGGTATTGCCCAACGTATCCTTCAAGGCCCCGTGATATTGTGCGCGCTGTATATGATGGATGAAAGAAAAGAGATTTTTAGTGAATAGACGAAGCCAGGTGTCTTTCGTGATTAGCGAGGAATTTCTTGATGTGGAATGTTATGTCGGAGCAGACCTTACTGTACAATGGGCAATTATATTGAGCAGTTCTGAAAAGTCTTTCCTTCTGGAGCAGAACCGACTGTATGTGACGCGGGTATCGTAAAAAGCCAATTTTGTGTACACCAAATGGAGTATATTTGCCCAGTAGATTATACAAAACACAGCAGAATCTGTAGTATACATCAGAAGGGCCAATACACTAATTGAAAATCTCTTCCCAACTGAGAGTGTGGAGATCACTTTTCATTGCTTTGAAATCAATTTTACTGAAAATGGGAAATGGAACAAGTTCACTTTTCCGATCATGGAATCTATATAGGAACTCAATGATATTGTGATCGGATGTACCAAACGGTGCCTTGACTGTTAGCTTGTGTACTTAGTAGTTGATAGTACCCAATCCAAAATGGTACCATCGCGAGTGGGTACAGTAACGAACTGCTTAAGGTCTAAATCACCAAAGAACTCAAGAAATCTTTGAACTTGTAAAAAAATGTAGAGTGGTGTGTCTCCACAGCATCTCATAGGAAGATTGAAATCACCAGCAATCAGGATATTCGGGGTACAATGGGTAGTAGCTAACAAGGGAAGTTCACTTAGTCGAAGTGGCGATTCGGAAGGAGATCTATACCAGTGGATAGAGCTTAGGAAGCTGATCTCAGATATACCTTCTATCTGCAATGCATTGCCCTAAAAAAAGTTACGAGCTTTTCTAAAGCCAAATTTTTGTGCATTTTGAGTCGCAAAATCATGATAATCGTTACACAAAAGTGTGCAAGCTTAAGCAAACCACCTAATAAGCATTGCAGGTCTAATTCGAGTTCACGCGAACGCTATCGAATGTTTTTCGATCACATTGTTCATCCACAGATCGTCATTTCATTCATAGATCACACTTCCATTATGTATACAAAAAAGCCCCATAACCTCCATCTAGAAAAAAGCGTCGCCTAGGAAACTGTTTGGAAACTGCCATTGGATAGGACGTAAAATGATGTTCTCGAATATATCTTCAATATCTGCGACGCGTTCTTCTAGATGGAGATTATGGGCTGTTTTGTGTACAAGGTGTCCCAAAAGTATGTATGCACTGTTTGATCGTTAATATCTCTCTTCCCAAGAAGTCTTTCGCCTTGCTTCAGGTACCATTTTGTAGAGCTGGCTTTATCTTAGATTTTCAGTATAGAACAAATCACCCATCTTTCTTCGTTACTGTAGGATTACGGTAGAAACTTCAAAGAGGGTTTTAAGCCATGAAAGGCCATATTTTGCCTCAGAAAAGACACAAAACAGCCTGAAAATCCTGAAAACTTTTACACTAGGCTAATTAGAGTTGCTGATTTTGACTGTAAAGTTCCCAACTTATTATGATGCTTCACTGAAGAGTTATGCCAGGTAAGAGGTAGCTGCCATTTTTTCGATGTTCCTAAAAAGTGCGGTTACAAAGTTTAGAAAGCTTTGCAATCTTATGCATAGTTGAGTATTGAACTCAGCGTCCATAAAAACCCTATTACACAAGTTTTCACAATTTTTTGAAAAATTTTGAAATGGCAGCTTTTTCCACATTGGCACCATATGTTTCAAGTTTCTACCGTAATCCTACAGTAGCGAGGAGAGATGGGTGATTCGTTCTATGCTGAAAATCTAAGTTGAAGCCAGCTCTACAAAATGGTACCAAAAACAAGACGAAAGGCTTCTTGGGAAGAGAGATATCAATGATCAAACAGTGCATACCATTTGATTCAACTGGCTTGGCATCGGCAAAGGCGGGGCTTCGTGACCTAATTAAAGCTAGGAAATGATCAGAGAGGGCTCGCGCGAGAGAGACGCAGGTGCGTCGCGGGCGCGAGCGGCCTCAGTTAGATCACAAAACCCCGCCCTAATGGTGCCAAGCCAGTTGAATCAAAGGTCACATACTTTTGGGTCACCCTGTATATAATGGAAGTGTGATCTAAGAAGGAAATGACGGCCTGTGATTAAACAACATGGTCGGAAAACACTCGAAAACGTTTGGATGAACTCGAATTAGACCTACAATGCTTACTAGGTGATTTGCTTGAGCTTGCACACTTTTGTGTAGCGATTATCACGATTTTGCGACTCAAAATGCACGAAAATTTGGCTATAGAAAAGCTCATAACTTTTTTGAAACAACGCATCGCAGATATAGAAGGTATATCTGTGATCAGCTTTTTGAGCTGTATGCACTGGTATAGATCTCCTTCCGAATCGCCACTTCGACTAAGTGAACTTCCCTTGTAAGAGGAGGTCAACAAGCACATCATCCGAATCAGAGGCGGAGCTGGGAGGTCGGTAAACACATATGACACGGGTTTTGGAGAGAGTGCTAGGTTGGTATAGATCAACCATTTTTATCTCACAACTGCAGTTATTCTCAATTGCAATGCTCTCACATAATAGCGTTGATTTGATCAATATGCAAACTCCTCCCCCCTTCTTACGTATTCTGTCAGACCGAAAAACCATGTAAGGCAGGTCAGAATCTATTTCAGTATCACTTATTTTCGAAGATAACCATGTTTCCATAATGAAAATAATATCGGGAGTTTAGTAGTCAAAAAATGGTGTAATAGTTGTAACTTGTTTGCTAAAGACCTAGCATTGAAAAGTATACATCGTAAAAAATCTCCTTGCCTACAATTCAGTTTTCCTGCATTGCAGAGGAAACGCGGTAAGAGCGATGAATTGAGAAGAAGCACGATTGTTGCTAATCAGTGAACTGGCAAGCACCAGTTCACCCTTGTAGGCAACAAATCTTTCTACAAAGCTCCGATTCTGATTCAGCTGTTTGGATTGGTCCCCCAACTCACGCTCCTTTTCTCTTTCCCGGGCCTTCGACGGATGTAGACCCCCTTATGATAGGGGGAATCCTTGAGCAGTCGGGCTCGGGAAAGAGCGGAGGCCCAGTAATGCCTCGACGGCAATTCTACTTCTACCGAGCGCGGCATACCAGTCGTTCTCCTCCCTATTCGAAAGGTTTTAACAGGCCGACACTCCAAATCAAGAAACATCTAACACCTCACGAACTTTATTTTCTGTATCCTCTTGGCGAACTGAAGCAGCTGGTTCAGTACGCCCGTCTCCACTGAGTTCAGGGAGGCCTGCGATAGCAATGCTTCTCGATCTACAATCTGCCTTCGATCGCAGTCTCGCCAAACTCTCCAAGCCTCACGAGAATCTCAGCTGTGATTTCTCGCACCTCAGGGATATAAAGATACAAAAGTTTTTTGAATGACTGAGCAACTGATTCGGTACGGGAATCTGAGGTGCTCTGAGGCGAAAGCGAGGCGACAATCTGCAACGCACTAGAATTGCGAAATTGCGATGCACTAGAATCCATGACGTATTGTGGCTGAGGAATAGGTTCAGCCGGTTTTGGAGTATTGCGTGACCTTGCAGATTTGGGAGGCAATGTAGTTTTAGGAGGCATGTCAATGAAAATAGTGCAACAAGGCAGGAAGTACAAGAGAAGCAAAGATATCGATCGGTATGCAATCACGCTTCCAGCTTCCGGAGGGGTTTTCTCGATTCCGCTAGCCGTCCTAACATCGTTCCTGGCCAAGCCCAAATGATTGACTTGAAACCGGAAGAGAAAGGATCGCTTCGGAAGCTGGCAGCCTAAATTCACAGTGGGGAGGACCCCGCCCACCTGCTGATTTCCCTCCTGTGTTAGGGCCGTTTTTCGTCGTTTTCGCCCTCTCCAATGTGCATTTTCGGACTTAGCGTAGCGAATAGGCCCGGGAAGGCGCAAATCTCAAAATCGAGTTTTTGCCCGGACACTGCCTATAAGGAGCTCAAATTTGTTTCCTTTTGATCCAAGTGATAAATTACTCGAAATGAGAGATTACATGTGGTCAGGGAAAAGATCATTACCCACGTACAAACCTTAATCAGACATCGCATAGCGTTTTCGACTCCTTAGGCCCCGGGCAGAGTTCACGCGATTTCATCATCGCGGTTCTTCTAACAAGACAAGCAGTTACGAGTCCAGTGCATTCCGATCATCTTGCATTCTGATTGTGACAGTTAGTCGCGATTGGTCATGTTGGAGAAATATCACAACCGAGATGCAAGATGATCGGCTGCAATAGACTCGTAACTGTTTGTTTTGGTGGAAGAATCGCGGCGAGAAATCGCGTGAGCTCTGCCCAAGGCCTTGGTCGCAGAGCGTATGATTAATTAAGGAATGGTTTCATGCCAAGCTTTCCATCATCGAAGAAGGAAAATGCTACAAAAAGCTTGCTGTCAAAAAAAAGTACGCGAAAAGATTATGCATAAATGAAGGTTAAAGAAAAGATCCAATCTACATCCTTTACCACTTTCATCAACCTAATGCCACTACCCAATATTCTCAGCACTAGCTGCAGAAGCCACGATTTGGACTTGAATCTGTCGAACTACAGTCATAATCTGCACAAAAATGATAACATAGCTTTATGTTTTACAGATTTTAGTAATATGATGGCAGTCAAAAGAAATCGATTGCAATAGATTGTGTCTTAATACGTATAACACTGGGTAATATATACAAAGAGATTCGATAGCCAACATTCACGGATACAAAAATATAGCCAGACAAGGTACGAAAGAGTACAATGGCAATGCTATGATACGGAATTATGGTCAATGATTGTATGGCAATAAGTTTCAGGATGAAAAACCATTTCCAATTGATCTGTCTCAACCTTACTACCTCCATAGCGGTTTTTCAGAATATACAGAAATTTTCTAAACTTTCCTCGATCATTTTCATCACGTCGCCTCTGCAATGCAAGGACGTTATCTGCTTCCTGTGTAACGCGCGCTGAACCCCCAAAATGTTGGATATCTAGGTCAGTATCTGCATCGGTTTTCCTGGGATGCACCACCATAGTCACATGCACTCCAGTTTGCGTTGCCAAGGATCGCATATGTCCAACAAAACGATCCTGTGCATAAAACCGATCCCAGGCTGTAGATTGCTCCTTGTACGTTGTCGATTGATTTACGAGAAATTGCAGGTTGTCTATGACCAAATGCTGACAACCACTGTTAATCACATAGTTACGGATCACCTGTAACAGATTGATACATTAGTCTGTAATTGTCAAAGGCAACATTCACCCAATCTGGATTTGGTGAGATTTTTATGCTGTATAGCGGGCTTTTAACCGAATGAATGCCCTACGGGTGCAAAAAGTGAGGGAAGAAGCGAGAAAATTACTCCAGAATGTAAAAGCAGCAGTGGTGGCTCCGCCCATTTCGCGAACATTTTTGAATTTACTTGAAAGGGTTAGTTCTTGGAATTTTCTGATAATTCAGATTAGCCTTGTAAAAATTTTATCAGAGGACCACAGAAATTTTAAGAACTACCTCAAGAAAAATTTCGGCGGAGAGCGTGCCTGACGCCACGAACCTTCATTTTCCTGCAACCGCCGCCTCAGCGTATTCGAAATCGTCAAAAATGCCCCCCTCAATATGGTTATCGAATTTCGACAACTCTAAATAACCGATTCTGGACTTATTACTTTTAGACCAATCAAGTTGATGGGCAGGGTTACAACCGTTGCTTCCAACCTGGAGCGACACGCTTCTGACTTAACCTTAGGCCTCGGGCATACCTCACGCGATTTCAGTCGCCACGCGATTTGGCAATACTCCAAATGTTCATAACTCATCCTGCGGGGTTTCTGAATGTACGGAAGAGGGGGCATTTTATCAACCTACGAAAGTTATACATGCTGTGCATTTGAGGTCTTCCAGTATTGAATTTGAAGACATATGGCAAATTGCCAGATCGCGTGGCGACTGAAATCGCGTGAGGTATAGGCTGTACCAACCAGCATCGGTCCCGCGCTGATGTGCCTTGCGAGGACGCACCGTCGCATGCGACCTGCCTCAACGCGTAGCAATATTCGCACGCGTCACACCGCACCGTCGCTAGTGGTCGCAGGCGCGATGCCGCGTGACCGATGCTGGTTGGTATGGCCTATATGTTCCTTGCCTTATGCAGCGAGACTTGGGCGATCACTTGATCAGAGGCCCTGCTATTGCGTTATCATCCTCATCATCCTCAGTTTGGGGGGGGGGGGGTGAGGGTGACTTCAAACTATGCACTCACTTCAGCTATCTGTGTTACGCTCTTTTCTCTAAAGTCGCTCGTCTTCATTATTGTCAAAGGTCCTTTGGTCCTTTCGAATCTATCTAACCATACATCAACGCTGCTGCCATAATCAGAGCGATAGAGGGGTACGCCGGCGAACTGCACCAGCATCCATTTCAATATCTTTACTTCTGGCATCTCGAAACTGCAGAATGTTGTCCGAATCCCTTGAGTAAACAGATCGAGAGAATACTCACAAAGGAATGTTGTTTTGCCGAACCCTGTACCTCCCGTAAGCACAGTGAGCTCTCTGGGTCGAAGACCTTGGAGGTACTTATTGAGTGGAGCAAATCGCTTCCACTGGGCAAGACCGTTCTGACGAACACTAGAGTAGACCAAATCGGATTTGATTTCATCGCGGATATCACTTGCACTTATGAATCCTCTTTCACGTAGACGTGCTGCTCCGTGTGCAATGATAAGCCTGACATCTTTCTGCTTTCCATTACGCACTAGTTCTACTGGTCTTTCGGTAGTGGTTATGAGCCTGCATCGGACGTCGTCAAGTCTGTAACCCCATTCCCTAGCAAAATCCTGATGTTGCGGAGGAAACCACAAAAAAATTTGTTCAAATCTTGCGAGATAGGGGAGGGTTTGAAGATCAACTCGACGACCATGAGGTAACGCGAACGTCAACACTCCTCCTGTGGCATCGTAAACGGCAAGAGCATCGCGTTCGTTAGTAGTCAACACTACAAGTCGGTCCGCAGAGGTTGTCAAATGATAGCCAAAAATGCCGCAGAACTGACTTGCATTCGGATATACTTCTTTTTCGAGAACTTTGTCAGATCTTCGTATAACTTTCAATCCAACTGGAACTGCATTCAAAGACGTGTGGTTGCCATACCTTGGATATAGAATCGACGCTCGATTCCGTTTATCCACGTGACCGCGGATGTTGAAGCGAGATAATGTTTCAGATGAGATTCGATCGATACCAAGAATATTGAGAAGGAATTTCATATCATTCTGCTCCACAATAGCCAAATCGTTGATATCCAAACTGTTTCGCCATAGACTATGGATTACAGGATCAATCGGAAACTTTGCGCATTCTTTTATATCTGGATGGCCGATTTCTTCATTGTAAAATTCTTTGTCTGGCGCTTTGTTTTCGTCCAGAAACGACTTCAAATTGGTCTGGTCATACAGATCAGGATCAACATCTTCTGGGTGTTCCATGAGAAAAAGTCGCTTTGCTTCAGACATTCTCTCTTCTGCTGGTCGCCTATCTGCGAAGGATGTTACTGTGCTTGCTCTTGACAAAAACTCTTCTAAGGTAGTCAGCTCGTGGCAGACCACACATCTCACAGAATTGTCGATGCCAGAAATGAAACAAGAATGTTTTGATTCGCAATATACACAGTCCGTAAGAAGGAAATTTCCATGAGCTACCTTCTCAAAGCTAATTCGATGTTTTTTGAGCCTTTCTGCGACTTCTGATCTTGTCAAAGGAAGACACTGTGACTGCTCTGCTGCGGCTATAACCTGTGTCAGAGTGTGATGCTGCTCTCCTTTTGAGGTAGAAGCTCCATCCGAGCAGGAATGATTGTTGCCACTGGAATAAGGCTTCTTTGTGGAAACTACTATCCCATTCACCGTGACCAGACATCTCAGAGATATTCGCGCTCGTCTGCAGCTGCATCCGATTTTCAGCATTGATCCAATGTTCTTCATTGATCTAGAAAAGGCGACATAATTGCATGGTACTACATTAATTTTTCCGCTTAACATACTGAACTTGCGGTGCCGAGACCAGACCAAATTTGCGCGCTAACTTACAGCCAGTCAGTGATGCCGACATTTCGCGCGCGCAAGTGTCCAGCATCACAAGCGCAGCCATTTGTTCGCGCGCAAACTTGGTCGCCTAATCTCGGCACCGCACGCACACCGCAAGCAGAAAATATGGACTGTAACTGTAGTTTGTGCAACATACATAAACATAGACTGAACAAAGACATTCGCGCTGATCATGATCGCAAGTAAAATCTATCATTTCGAATCTCTGACAGAATTTTATTACACAGGGATTATTATACAAGCATATTCATTATATAACGGTGTTGTATTATGCGTAAGAAGGAAATCAATGCAAATGGAACCTGCCACAGTAAAAAAACGTTCCACAAATTTAATACCGATATTACTGTAAGCGATGTAGCTATTTGGTACTCGATATACACGCATTTTGGTGTAAGTGAAATTATTATGCACTGAAATAGTCCTTATATATTAAAGCAAAATAAAATTCGTCTTTGACTGGGACATCAGAGAATGTAGCTCTTTGAATGGATCCGGAGGAACAATGGTTTCGGCAGATCGTGCGAAAGGGCTTTTTAAACCGCGAATGCGTCCTACTATACCAGCGGGATTGCACTCAGGCTGACTATTCTCCAATGTTAGGCATCCTTCTGACGGAGATACATGCATCTAAATACTTGTTAAAGAAAAATCTCCACTGAAAAGGTACGCGAAAATTTGAAAGCCAAAGAATTTGCTTAAAGGAGCGTCCGAGCAGATCTGAAAGCACCTTGATATCCCACGCAAGCCATAGCGCAGGTGGAGACTGCAACATTTTGCTTGCAGCGAGAAAATCGTGTCAAAAATCTAAACATAACCTTTGATTCATCGGGGAATGGCGGGTGGAAGGCGGGGCATCGATCGCTTATCAAGCCTAGGGAGTGATTGGAGATCACGCTTCCGAGAGAAACGCGGTTTGAGTCGCTCTCGCGAGGTCGCCTTCCACCCGCCACTCCCGATGAATCAAAGTGGATGCCCCTCGTTCATCCTCACCCTCACCGAAGGAGGAAATCATGTCGGACGGCCGCTGCGGCGCTGGCATTGGCTACAGCGGCGTATCCCATCACGATTTTCTACGGGACGAGACGAGTCCGGACGGGTAGGGGCTATCCTTTCGGCGACATATAGTCCTCCACCCAAACCAGACTACGCCTTGCATGGGGAGCTCGCTTCAACAGTCTTGAAACGAACTGAGGCTGAGGTGCTCCATCTGCCTGACCGCTGCCTTACTTGAAAAAATAAACCTTGGCAGAAGTGGCTACAGCAGTATTAGAGTTCATATCATCGAGAAAGTCGCGCGGATCTTGTTCACTGCTATCCGATGCGTCGATCGAATCGAAATCTACCATTACCGCTGGTGCAGTTTGACCTTCAGCTTCCAGATTTTTGTCTGAACACAATCACTTGATACTCTCAACAAAGAAGGCGCATTCCTTAACTGTTTAATTTGGTGGCGTTCATCCGAGGGGACGGTTTAAACATGCGACTTTTCAGTGCCGCGGTAACAGATGTCAGAGCTTTCCTTAAAAAAAGATCGACTACTATTTCGGAAAATGCAGTTTTCTCTCTTACGCTCCATCACAACTTTAACAATGATGCTCCTAGTCACTTATATAAACGAGCTCACCTAGCAGCTGTAGATGATTTTGGAAGTGACATGCGCTCCACATTATGCACGGGTACGTCTTTGTCAATGCACAGTTTGATTGTGACGCAAATCTAAAAGCAACATTTTTTATTGAGCAGATAAAAAATCACGACTTATCACCTGCTCCGCGATTGACTCTGCGTACTCGTTAGCTTCCTCAATGCTTTTCAGTCGTATGGCAACATTGTTGAATAAGCGAGTTTTTCCCGCGCACAGGGTCCAACTTTCGTTTATAGTGCTCAATCGCAAGTACAGACGACCTGAGCGGGATGGGCGGCCGATCTGTAAATGAAACATTCAGAATCAAGTAGTTTCTTTTTACAACACAAAAACAGTTTGTTGTGTCAGGACCGTAAAGAACAGGGCTCGGCACAGCTGGCACCGGTTCAAGCGGGATATCGCTTTGGGACAAAAAGCAAGGGGGATATCGTTTTTGTGGCCGAAAAGACTCAAAAATTGTGAAGTTTTCTTTAGTCGAATCTTTAGTTGACGTTCGTTTTAGGGTCAAATGGGACTTCGTACAAAATTTTCAAGATTAAAGGGGACTTCGTTTTGAAATTTTCCTGGTGTCAGTTCGTGCCGAGTCTTGATAAGGAACAAGTTACCTCGTTTGTGTTTACTACTACTGACTTATAATCTTGAGGGAGTCATCGTGATAGGACCCAAAACCAAGTCGGTTGCGTATAGGATTGTGTGTCCCCTGGTATTTTCTGATTTATGAAGACAGATTTCAATGTGAAATCTTCTGTATATCATGGCAAAAAGCGAAACATGCTCCGCTACAGGCACTATGAAAGTTAGATAAGGTTGTAGTCAGAAATCACCAAAAATGTCATAGAACTTCAAAAAAGTAATAAGTAAGCACTGAGCGGCCAACTGCACCAAAACATAAGGCGGCGACTGCGCAATTGCGATACAAATCGACTTTGTCATGAATAAGTCTCTTACCTCTATCGACTTGATATCCTCCAGAGGAACAATCTTGACATCAGCAAGTCTTTCGACATCATCGTCATATACAGCTATGTACAATTTCGTCCTGATCCATAGTTACATGAATTTATCAAAAAAAAGGCTATATAGAACCTTGTCAGCAGAACTATAGCGTCAGCTGCATCGCTGCTCCGTTGTGGGTCACACAAAGCCCAACCTCCTGCGATAATACAGATAAAGCGCGTACTTCGTACAAAACATTTGCCCAACCTACAACAACCTCTCCTTCAGGAAGTAGAAAATGTACAGTCTCAGCTACAAGCCGACCGACATTTTCATCTTCTTCCGAATCTGAGTCCGCTTCCAGCATTGACTCCATGCCTATTAGAGAATAAACAAAGTGCGCGGTTGGGAACTTGAGTTGAGACCAACCTTGATCTTTCTTTCCCAACAAGGCGTTTATGGCTTTCTGCCTAGATGAGTCTCGCACGTGGGAGAGGTAGTAACGCGATGCACTGTTATAGCCATCTTTCATAATTCCAGTAAATCGTCGCTCACCGCTTCGAGTGACATCTCCTTTCAAAGCTGCAGTCCCAGCATACTGTAGGCATTCAGATATATAACGGTTAATGAGTGACTACACATTCGACACAACTATAGAACCAAGTGACAAACATACCTGTGTCGAGATAACATCACCGTTGTCGGCCCACATGTTTTGCAGCAAGAGAACCAAAGCCTCGGGTGGTTCACATAGTGGACCGAACAAACCTAGCCGCTGCGCTTGCTGCATGCAAACCCATTGTGATATCGCTCCCTGAACATGAGTGTGTAGGCACAAAAAATCATACAGGTATAAAAAGCAAAAATCGAAGCAAATCGTATTTGTTTAGACCTGCACTAAATTCGTACGATCCAAGCAGTCTATACAGTTGGTTCGCACCACGCCACGTTGTGTTTTTACAACTTCACCTAAATTAACACTTCATACAAATTACTGGGTAATGAAAATGTTTGGAAATGCCAGCCTGTTTTGTCCACCCAGCAATAGCTAATTTCTCCTAATAGTTCATGTAGTCTTGAAATGAGATCATTAATCTGAAAATACCAGTCCAGAGCAAATCAAGAAAGATAAATTAGTCTCTACCTTATCAAATTTCAAGCCGCGACACTGACGATGAAGATCAAATGAAACGAAGTGCAAGTCAGACGAATTAAATTTCACAGCATGCTAAAGACAGTTTGAAAAATTGATGCGGGCATGTACAGAGACGACTGAAGCGATGAAAGAAGGAAGGCGACTTGTCCGCCAAAAAGTTGCGGACAAGTCGCCTTCCTTCTTTCATCGCTCATTTTCAGATGAAAAAAAAAGATGAAAAAATGGGTGAATTGCATGGGGTGATAGAGATCTTCAAGAGCTACAATTTACTGTTTCTGAAAAAACATGTATCTTAAAAATTGTAAAAATCTTTTTCTAAAAAAGGTCCGAAAATGGCCGCGTCACAATGTCGCGGACAACGACTCTTCGAACGCAAAAATTTTCTTTTAGGTCGTTCTTTGGAGCAAAAACAAAAGGTTTCCGGGCAGTTAAGCACACTATGTTATAGAACTCATCGAGGACAATAATTCGGTAGTGGTTACTTCCAAAAAAATCCGAGCTTAAGTTCTATTTTACTTCTTTTCAAAAATTAACTTCTAATTCCCTGCCTTAAGCCAAATTTCTTCACATGGAAACCCATTCAAGATATGAATTAACAAAGATATTCGGATAAAATGAATGCCCTTTGCCATCTTCATGCAACGGACGTTGCTGGTGAGTTTCTTTGCTGAAAAAGGTTTTTAACAGTGCGACCACCTACACCTCACCACTGACTTGCACCGCTTTGTAGGGTTGTAGCTCGGGCAGCAGTCACTCTATGAGCTTGCAGGTAGGCTCATTCGAAAGAGCATGACTTCCTCGACACGATGATATGCAAAAGAGTTGGGTATGAGAAGCGGAGATTTGGCGGATTGGGGTAAAAAAGCGCAGCCTCAGTGGTAGGTTGAGGATTTCCAGCTAAAGTTGAACAGAGCTTCTTTCGCTACAAGTTCCATCCAGAAAGTTTAAAAAGGTCAATGTTCTTGTCATAGATCAATTTCGAAGCTTTAAGACTGTTCTGGTGCTGATAAAAGCCTCCATTCCAATCACTTCTGACGCTGCATTTTTTCACCCCATCCGCCAAATCCCCGCTGTTTCTCATACCCAACTATTCTGCTTACGGTCGTGTCGAGGAAGTCATGCTCTTGCCTGCTGAGCCTACCTGCAAGCTCACAGAGTGATTGCTGCCCGAGCTACAACCCTGCAAAGCGGTGCAAGTGGCGAGGTGTAGGTGGGTCATGTGCATGCACTGTTAAAAGCCATTTTCAGCAAGGAAACTCACCAGCACACGTCCGATGCATAGAAGATGGCAAAGGGCATCCATTTTATCCGAATATTTTTGTTGGAATATCTTGAATGGGTTTCCATGTGAAGAAATTTGGCTTAAAGCAGGGAATTAGAAGTTAATTTTTGAGAAGCAAAATAGAATTCAAGCTTGGGTTTTTTGGAAGTAACCACTACCGAATTATTGTCCTCGATGAGTTCTACAACATGGTATGCTTAACTGCCCGGAAAACTTTTGTTTTTGCTCCAAAAAACGACCTAAAAATTTTCGCGTTTGAAGAATTATTGTCCGCGACATTGTAACGCGGCCATTTTCGGACTTTTGTAGAAAAAGATTTTTGAAGTTCTTAGAATACATATTTTCCAGAAAGCGCAATGTGGGGTTGTAGTTCTCGGAGAGCTCTATCAGCTTATGCAATATATTCAGTTTTTCACCTTTGTTTTCCATCGGAAAATGAGAGATGAAGAAAGGAAGGCGGCTTGTCCGCAACTTCTTGGCGGTCACTGTATACTCCGGAAGATTGGCCCTTTTCAGATTGTGATAGATGCACCAAGTGCAGCCATTTCCACTAACGTCGCCGGCAGCAAATTCAAGCAAGCTTAAAGGCACCGTCCACCCAGATTCTCGACTTCCAGGTTTTTGTCGTTTCAGGGCCTTCTCAGGGTCTCATGTTTCTGGTTTCGAATATGAAATCGATCCGCGAAAACCCGACAATCCTGTTCCGGAAAATCCGTAGGCCGATTCTCCCCAACAGTGATTGGATGCGCGCATGGATGGGCGGGCATGGATGGGGAGGGCGATGCCGTCTTGTCCTCCTGCATCTTCGTTATTCCGAAGCGATTTTCTCGCTTCCGAAGCGACATCTTGCGCCGCGACTTGGGCTCTGGCTTGATAGGAGGCCCTACTATCATATGCTGCCAAAAGCTCAAGATCCTCAACTTAGGGTGGACGGTGCCTTTAAAGGCAGTGTCCGGGCAAAAACTCAATTTCTAGAAAATCCACTTACCGGGGGTTATCCGCAACGCCGAATTCGAAAATCCACATTAGAAGGCGCAAAAATGGCGAGAACATGCGTTTTCCAGAGCCTTACAATTGAAATTCGACGGTCTCCGCCAAGGCTGAGACGCAGAGTCGCTGCGGGACCCTACGATTTTGACTGTTGCGGAATGCGTCCTCTGCCGCATAGCAGGAATTCGGACAGCTCGGAGAATCCAGCAAGGCGTAAGTTTCCCCACTTTCCGGTGTTTTTCTTGCTTTAGGTCGAGCGTTATGACGGCACACTTGCGTGATGTTGTGTCCAAGGGGGGCCACTTTCGCATGGTACTGGAATTTCAAAACCCCCATTCTGCCACAGCTTAAAAGCAGTGTCCGAGCAAGATGGGGGTTTTGAGATTTGAATGCCATGCGAGAGACAGAGTACGCATGCCGCCACAGTTAAAATGTGGGGTCCCGCAGCGACTCTGCGTTCTCTGCTTTGGTGGGGACCGTCGAATTTCAAATTGTGCGGCTCTGCAAAGCGTATGTTCTCGCCGTTTTCGCGCCTTCTAATGTGGATCTTCGGATTCAGCGTTGCGGATAACCCCCGATAAGCGGATTTTTTAGAAATCGAGTTTTTTCCCGGACACAGCCTCTAAGCTGACAATCCCTTCACAATCTGCAAATGCCCTAACCAGACCTCTACAAAACTCCTGGCTAACTTCAGCTCCCTTCCAGCTTGATCGACAAGATTCACGACGACCAAAGGTGATCCATAATGTTCTATCAGCGACTGCATATGTGTTGTGAAATACGGCATACTTTCTTCAAGCGGACGGTCAATAGTAAGAGGGGGACGGTATTTATAACCTCTTTGGCTCCAAAAAGTTGGTACAGACCCACGTATCTAAAAGTAGGCATTCAATGTATTATATCATTGGTAGCAAGCGCAATATAAACTTGAAATTCTAAACTAATTTAGAACAGGTAGACTGATGAAGAGGAAACCTCAGACAGTTGTAATTTTTCACTTGGCATCCGGTGATGAAGAGCCAACCTGTCTTTTTTTGTGCACTCAAAAATATGCAGCGTATCCAATAATACCGCATAAATCGAAGCAAACAACAGACCTGGACAAATGACAGATTGTGATCGAAAATGTGCAATATTAGTTCCGTTTCAACAAAATTTGCAACATTTGAATCACTATCGATTCCCCTAAAAATCATACAGAATTTTTTCATGACCGCTGGGTCATCATTTGAGACAATGCTAGTCACAAGCAATAAACCTTCGCAGGTAGCGCATTCCAGCACGATGCACAGATCGTCGTGAAATCAATGTTATTCCTAAAGAAGTGTGCATCTCCGGGTCATCTGTGACTGTAAGCGTATCAGATCGTACACTTCCCTGTATTATAGGTACAGCCCTTAAAGCTTCTTATAGCATTATCTCCAAGACTTTGAAGTAAGAATGACAAACCATTTTTTGGCTAAATTCTTATCTGTCTCCTCCAACAAGTCCCGTAACAATAACTTGTTCCAGAAAAATCGCTCATCAGAATCAAGGGTGTTAGAAAAATGCCTGAAGAGTTGTTGAGATACATGCAATCGCGCACATGTAAACAATCCAACCTTTGAGTGCATTGTGTTATGTCTCTTTCAAAACAAAAGTAAAAACCGGGACTGTCATTAAATAAGCGTAATATTTCCTCGAGCAAAGCAAAGGGTCTCTGCACATTACCTTGAACAAATAAAATCAAAATATAGGTCAGATACGTTGGATTCGCCAAACCGATTTTATCCTGCACAAATTTCAGCAGTTTTCCAGTGCTCTGCTTCAAGCGTTGTGCAGAAGAATCAGTCGGAACTCCAGTAGCAGGTAAAGCGTCCAAACTTACTGAAGGATCGAGTAAAATGGCTTTCACATGATCGATGCGGTGAATGGGATATTTCCCCTAAATGCTTTTCAATAAGAAGATAGAAAACTCATAATTTGTATGACTTGCCCGAACATCGCTCAACTCAGCTACTACGGTGCTACTGGTGACGCAGAGGATATAGTTCAGACCATCGATATCGAGTCGTCCTATAACCAAGACAATATCACACACTTCCTCTGCATCCATAGGTATGACATCTGGAACGAGATCTTTTACAATGATAGGTATGAATGTATGGATCTATCGAATAAAAATCAAAGAGAAAACAAAAAGTACTTGTTATGTGAGCAGAAGTAGATATTCACGCTGCGTAAATGCATAAACTGGCGGAGCGATTTGGAAGGACTATGGCCTCGAATATAAATACTGTGGGGTGGAGGAACGAACACCTTAGTTAGGCACTGCCTCCGCGTGCTGCTAGTCCTTTCGTTCTACTGTTTGTGCACCGTGTTGGGACCAATGGTCCGCGGAGGCGGTGCCTAACTGAGGTGTTCATTCCGCCATCCAATACTGTGTGCCCCAGGAAAATTCCCATGTTAACCAGCGTGCGTACGTGGTGCGACGCTGCCTTTCGCTCTTTTCGACACGTTTCTCCTGAGATTTCAACGGAACTACCCGAGGTTAACACGTTCAAAAGAGCGAAAGGCAGCGAGATGACGTGGCACCTATGGGAATCTTGCTGGGGAACAAACGATAGCTCGCGCGACTCCTCCAAAATCGCCACGATACGTGGTCTGGCGATCTGCCAGATGTGTGCACCAACGCATTTGGGATTCATATGCACAGGCGCATAGCTTTTGTAAACTTATACGTGCATGCCAAATCTTGCTTACAGGGGCTTTCAGTCTGAGTGTCACGGTCGACGTGGATCAACTCCTCGCGAGCCGCCTCGCTTGGGTCTATCACGTTGTTCAATACCGCACCCGATGCCGCGAAGGCCTGCAAATGCGGTTTTGTACCACGTGAGAGATCCGAGCGAGGCGGCTTGCGAGGAGTTGAACCACACGTCGACCGTGACACTCAAACTGAAAGCTCCTGTACCTAGAGTACGCGCCTATGGAATTATGAACAATCAAAGCAATTAGAAATCGCGCGACAAGATATGACCAATCCTTATGGAACTGCTTTGAGTTCCTTTGCGCAATAAACATGAACATGAATCTGCAATAACATGTAAACGATTTACCTAGCGTTGGGGATACAGAAAGCCGTCCATCCACTTTTGAACACATAAGTCGAGATCCATTGTCTTCAATGATGTAAGAAGTAAGGGTAGAGTAGAGCTTCATCAGATCCTTTTCAAACGGTACATAGCTGCAATGTCATAGTAGATATTTGAAAGGCCTCAAAGTGAGCAAGCTGAGTGGCATGGAACCAGGGTCAAGCGTGGGGTGCGGCACGCCACACCTGGGGATCGTATTGAGGAGTCAAAAGGGGAGGGGGTCGTAGTTGGGTAATCTGATGATAGTGATAACATGATATTCGTATCATATCCATAATGAGCATGTCAATTAACCTCTGTAGACAAAGTGTGAGCGAATTCTGAAGATTCAAGATACTAGGCTACCTAAATGAAATGGTCAAATTCCAACATGGTTAACTTTGTTTCAAAGGTGAATTAGCTATCCGTTTGCACTCAAGACAAAGCACTACTCCTTCTTTGTCCACCTCAGGAATCCCGCTTCAGAAGACCTGCAAACTGTGGAATTAGAAGCCAACCAAAATCTCGTTTTTCCCTTTTTTCGCTTTTGATCGCTGTGCTTTCACCAAATATTACTTAGAGTTAAGAAGACAAATCAGGCTCCAAACAGTCCTATGGAATCTACAAGGTTCAGGCTATCGATTCATATAAATACTGTCCGCTAAAAATGTATTTTTGATATAGTTAATGGGGTGCGGCACACCCCCTTGAAAGCTGCGGCTGCCGCAGCTTTTGAGGGGGTGTGCCGCACCCCCTTAACTTGCCTTAAAAATCCAGAAAGCGCACCATTGCTGGTATGAGTATTGAGCACATAGCTTCTTCTTGCTACGTTGGAAATCTGGAGCCGAACGCCTCACCCATAAGAAAATTATGGCCCTTTCAATATGCCCATCCAGATCAAAATCAGCCGTCAAATTACGTGTGATTGTAAAGTGCAGTCACAGAAAATCGGGCGTACAGCTCTCAGAAATCTGAAAACTCTCTAGAAAAAGATGGTGTCCTCCAGAATGTCACACTTTGAGGTCCAGAGGTTAAGAGGAGGAAGAAAGGGTCGTTTGAGGGCTTTCATGGGGGGGGGGTCGAAAGACTGCCTGACCTCTTTCTCAACTCTGGTAATTACCTTAGGTATATAGTTCAGAGGGGGGGGGTCTTACTAAGACAGCAATCGGGGGAGGGGGGGAGGGGTCGCAACCAGCGATCGTGTGCCACACCCCTTGCTTGACCCTGCATGGAACTGAAAGGCCTTCCACCAGCAAGTGAGACAGAAAATCGCTTGAACTCTAAGGAAACAGTGAGGTATGATTGGCTCCCAGATTCGTGTGGAGGTGTATTGGCAGACTTTATGATAACACGGATAAACTTAAGTTTATTGTCGTGAATATGTTAACAATTGTTAACACATTCATGGCAATACGACCCACCGGTGGGTCGTAGGTGTACAGCCATCTCAGACATGCGACCCACCTCTAGGTTCGTACTACTACCAGACAATTGCTGCAGCGGCCCGGTCGCCCAGCCAACTGGGCTTCGCTGTTGAGCCGCGGCACTTAAATATCAGCCTTACATGCTTCAGGCCCAGCAGCGGCCCACAGGTGTGAGCTGGCGACCCGCGCACATAGTTGATGCCATGCTGACGGTGGCCCACGCGCCTACCTCGGCTCATAATTTCACTGGCGGCCCGCACACCTCCTCGATATCATCCCATATGTCTTCCCGCAACATGACGTGGATTACGTGGCTTGATGAGGCGCCGCCTCGCCTCGGACTCGCGCCACGTTGCGAGCGCATCGTTTGGCGCGACGTAGCACTCAACACAACGTGGCGAAGGCTTTTCCACGTTCTTCTTGTTGCCACATCACGCCGAAGATGCGCACGCAACGTGGCGCAAAGCCGAGGCGAGGCGGCGCCTCATCAGTCCTCGTAATCCACGTCATGTTGAGGGAAGACATATGGGATGATATCGAGGGTATACACACGCATGCCGAAATCAGCGACCCGCTCTCATCCGTAAGAATTAACGGACGTTGTAAGCACAAGGGTTACTCGCGTGAGATATGACGCAGTAAAAGGGATGCCACTGGAGCTTGCAGGAGGTGTAACACTTGCATTTAGGATGACAACAGGTTTTCCTATGAGTTGACCGTTGATGGGGTTTCAATTATTCTCGTGTAGTTCAATCAGTAGTGTGAAGCAGGAACGATTTTCACTATTTTTGATTTCACATGGGTTGTATCCACATTTGAGGTGACCTGCGCTTGCAGCTGCAGCCGAGCAGAAACCCAACCCTAGGGTGGCTCTGCTATGCTAGCGCGGGCCAACAAGTCAAAGGAAACACTGAAATATAGGCTGGCCTGCTCGTCCGGGTGACGGTCGCTGCACACACTGGAACCGTCGCTGGCCCGCGCTAGCATAGCAGGGCAAGGCCGGGAACGGGTTTTCGCCCAGCCGGCCATGAGCGCCCGGGTGGCCGCAAAAAGGTCTGAGTAGGCACTGCAGATTTACGATGGAAGTAAATGGGATGTACGCCCATGTTTGGAGATTAGAAGATGACCTTTCGGACAATACAACCCATCGGCAATCGAAAAAAAAAAGACACGAGGAAGTTGATATATACCAGTGGGTCGTATGTCCGAAACGGCAGAAATTGATAAAATAGCCATGTTGTGAATGTGTTAATCATCCAAGTTACAGTTGCTTTTCGTACTTTCTCGCTAGCGAAAACCGCTATGCTCTAAGTTGGCAAGATTCCACCTCCACCCGAATCTGAAAGCCGATGATGCTCCTGCAGTCGTAGATATCATTATACAGGGTGTCCAAAAAATGTACCTACTGTTCGATTGTAAATAACTCTCTTGTAATGAAGTCTTTCGAGAAGCTTCAGGTACCATTTTGTAGAGCGAGGTTGAACTTAGATTTACAGCATGGAGCAAATCATCGACCGCTCTTCATTACTCCCTTACAGGCTCCTACAAATCAAGAAAGTGACCTATGAACAGCTTAAGTATTGAAAGATCTGATTACGGTAAGAACTTCCAGCATATGGAACCATTGTGAAATATACCACCTAACAAAATTTTTTCAAGAAATCTGAAAAATCGTGTACTAAGGTTTTCGCGCATGCTGATTCCACCTAACAACTTTTTACGAGTGTATTCAGCTTTTTTGAGGCGAGCGGCCCGTAGGGCGATTCCTATAAGTCTCTAAGGCTCGTAGGGAAATCATTTCTCACATCTCCGGTCTGTTCCCTGTCCGCTGGGCAGATCTTTCAATACTTAAGCTGTTCATAGGTCACTTTCTTGATTTGTAGGAGCCTGTAAGGCAGTTCTACTTAGGTGATCTGTTGGCTCCCCATAATGGTTTCTTTCGACAGTTATCGTGGTTCTTTCTCAAAGTACCTGTTCGCAAAGGAGACACCTCATTTTTGTAGTTATCGTCGTCTCCCCGCGATAGATGGGGCGTGTCGTCTGCAAAGTCCGTAGATGTGCGTGTTTCGTACGGTGCTAGCCGGCGTGGCTTTGACAACGTTGCCAACGTATGCGCGTGGCAGTTTTTGGCAGTTAGAGAATACGAAAACTAATGTTATACGATGAAGTTTTAACAAGTATTTAGACGTGGCATGTATATACATGCCACGCCATGGCTAATACCGTACGAAATACGCACGTCTACGGACATTGCAGACGACACGCCTTCGTTATCGCGGGAAACACGATATGTTCTATACGAGGTTAGTATAGGGTATTATTATAGCCGCTACAGTTCTATAGGTAGACCGTAGGGGTTATTTCTCAAATATGAGTTTGCAGGGAGGGAGAGGGCTCGTAGGACAGTTATTCAGTTATCGTTCCCTAAGGTTCTTATTATAGAGCAATTTTTAGGCTCGTAGTTAAAAATGCTGGTCTATAAGCGGCCAGGACACCTCCTAGAAATGTCGGTCTGTGAGTTTTGTATGAGACGTAAATATCGTAGGTCGTTCATAATTGTTTCTCAAGATATTTGTTTATAAAGGACTCTCGCAGAGCGGTTCTTTCTCAAATATCGGTCTTTGAGCGGCTCTTAGGGAAATTTTCTTTGAGATATCGGTTTGAGGGTTTGCAGCTCATAGTCAGTTTCTTTTTTGATATACTCAGACACTCGCACCGGCTGGCGACCGCGCGACGACCGTCTTCCGGCCGGCGGCCGCTTCGAAAATCTGGGCGGAGCTAGATGCCGGCCGTGACCGCTCAAAAAATCATACTGGCTGGTGGCCGCTTGAACGGCCGCCAGCCAGTATGAGAGGAGGGAGGGGAGGGGGAATCGTGCGTAGTAAAATCAGCATACTTGTATTTTTGCTACACAGTTTTTAGATCTTATTTTTTGAGAAATTCTTTTGGATGTCTCATTCATTTCGCCGTTTCTCTATTATAAGCTGAAGTTCCTATCATGATCCCCAATAAAAAAGTCATGGGTCGCTTTTTTGCTGTTATATAAGCTGGAGCCATACCTACAGGATGTTACCCAAAGGTTGACAGAAGACTTCGTGAGAGGATCATCGATCAAACAGTGCCTAGATACTTTTGGGACACCCCGCCACGCTGTGGACATTGAATTTTCGGATAATCGATGCCCTTCGAATTTTCAAATAGTCAATGCTTATCGAATTTTCGAATATTGGATGGACATCGTGTCGTCAATTGATGACTACCGGATATTCGACTATCAAATACGGTTCGAAAGTTGAGAATTTCAAATATGACTTTCGAATAATATTCAAAAATGAAAATTCTCGAATATTCGACTATAGAGAATTAGTTGAAGCCTTGAATTTTTAAATATCCGAACTTTCCAGTAACTCGCATTCGAATTATTTATTCGAATAATCGAATAAATGTTCGATTCGGTTCAAAATATAGCTGACAGCCATCCCGCGTTGCCAACAAGTTATTCAAGCGTGCCGCACTCAATACTCTATAAAAACCCTCAAAACAATTCTTACCCTTCACAAGGCAATTTGATAAGAATTTTGTGATGCTCTGACTAGCCTCTATGACTGTGAAGCAGGTCAGTTGCAGTACTGACATGTTGTAATTTAACAAGCACTCTTCGATTAGTAAACTTCACCAAAAACACATCAGAGTTAGCACCACACATGCGTCTCAGAAACTCAGTGCGGGCTTGTGCAACACTTCAAGGTAACTATCTCACTTTCCATATAATAAGGTGTAGTTTCAAAGTAAAGGAACTAACCATGACGGACTGCAGAGAAAGCAGAAAAAAAGAACAACAATTTATATATAACAAGAACAACTTTACTCTTCACTGTCAACATTCACATTTGTGAGGCCCTTGAAAGAGGTGCATGGCACATATGTGCAGAGAGTGTACAATTTGTGCACAGAATCTTCATCCTCATTGCGGCGTCGTGACAAGCGAACCCGAATACGGAAAGGCACATTCCTAAACAGGATTGAGTGTGTACAACTGAAAAGCTGCAAGTTAAGTTGATTCCCGTAAATTTCATCTTCGCAAGGAGAATGATCGTTAGAAAAAGAAGTGTTTTCAACGGTATGCTATCTTTGAACGAAACACGGAACTCAACATGTTCCTATCCCGCAAGTCTTTGAAGGCACAAATAGAAACAATTTTTTGATCTGCCCGCAATGTGGATAAATAAAAGTATGTAAACAAAAGACAAAATTTTGAACATCGATGATATCGTGATGGGCGGACAGCAACCATCTTCCTACATACAGTGCTGGCCAAAATTATAGGTCCACTCTAAAAAATGCCATAACTCACTCTGTTGTGAATGAAATTTTCCAAAATTTGGTATTTACGTGTGTTTACCAGTCCACTATCAGTCTTCAAAACGGTTCTCGTTTTCGTTTGATTATTCAAGAAAAAATTAGAAATTTTGAAAAAAGCAGGCTTGAAGGCTGGCCAAAATTATAGGTCCACCTGGAGTTTTTACTGATTAAAGCACTTCTTAACTCCCGAGGTTTTTTAGGTAGGCACACATCTAAAAACGTTAAACAGCTGCTTTAGTCAAGCTGTGTCATACCTCCACAAAGGACGGATTGTCTGCTTTTTTGCCTTGAAGATGCTCTCACATGTATTTCGCTCCACAAACCTGCGTTGAGTAAGAAATTTTGCAGTTTCTCAGTTGGATTGGAAGGGACGGGGTTTCATCTATCTTCTGGATGCTTTTTGACGTGAGCATTGAGGAAAAAATCCGACTTTTTGCTGCTGAAGCAAATCTGACATTGACAGTACTGCAATCCTGAACTCAAATTTCTGCCTTCAAACTGCTTTTACAATGTTCTCAGAAGCACTGAGTAAAATAAAGGCATTTTTTCTATGAAGGGGAGTCCGTATACCATAGCTACAACTTTCTAGAGATCCTAGCATTCGAGCATAATTACTGAAATCACTCTGCAGAAACTGATTACGACAAGCACCAAAGCTACTTGTGGCTCCGACCAAAATTTTCAGAAGAATCATGTGCTAACATACACTACAAGCTGTATCCACTATCTAGTAAATAATTACTGTCAAAAATCTAAGTGAGGTAGCACTTGGAAAGCTGTTTTGGATCGCGCAACACCATTATTACGTTGCACACATAACTCATGTTTCGAAAAAGAAGCAAGGCAGCTTTGTGGACACTTGTGAGTATGGCGAACAGCTTTATTCTTGTGCAAAAATGCTTCTACAATATCTTGAGGTTATAATGACAATGCATAAAGGGTTTTAGGGCAGAAACTGAGGCTTACTCTGCCGATTAAGCCGATGTCAGATTTGCTTCAGCAGCAAAAAGTCGGATTTTTTCCTCAATGCTCATGTCAAAAAGCATCCAGAAGATAGATGAAACCCCGTCCCTTCCAATCCAGCTGAGAAACTGCAGAATTTCTTACTCAAAGCAGGTTTGTGGAGCGAAATGCATGTGAGTGCATCTTCAAGGCAAAAAAGCAGATAATCAGTTCTTTTTGGAGGTATGACACAGCTTGACCAATGCAGCTGTTTAACGTTTCTGGATGTGTGCCTACCTAAAAAAATTCGGGTGGAGGACATTAGGTCGCCGAATTTGGAAGAGTCCCGCGCGGATTCCCTGCAGGAACGCATGTCCGCGCATGTACAAGGGTGCGTATTTGTCGCAAATGACCGCGGAGACCGCCCTTTTTCGGCGACCTAATGTCCTCCACCCAAAAAATTCGGGAGCTAAGAAGTGCTTTAATCAGTAAAAACTCCAGGTGGACCTATGATTTTGGCCAGCCTTCAAGCCTGCTTTTTTTAAAACTTCTAATTTTTGCTTGAATAATCAAACGAAAACGAGAACCGTTTCAAAGACTGATAGTAGGCTGGTAAACACACGTCTGTACCAAATTTTGGAAAATTTCATTCACAACAGAGGGAGTTATGGCATTTTTTAAGTGAACCTATAATTTTGACCAGCACTGTATAAATGAATGTTTGTTTGACTAACTATTTCTGACTGATCCAGATTAAACTTTGCACACATACACTTCGGGGCGGGGCGGGTGTCGTAGGCTACATTTCGTCGTTGATCGATATCGATCCCATCGAGATTTTGCATAATTTCACCTACGAAGCTGAGAGTTGGCACAGGGGAGTAAGTGAGCAAGCTGATTAATAGCTGATTAATAGCCGAAAATAATATCAACAGCCGGGTTTGCCAACTGGTTTTCTATAAACAGCTAAATAAGACACTAAGGCTGGGTTCATAGTGAGCCGCACAAAGCGGCACAGTTCCGGCACAGTTCGAGCACAGTTCGAGCGCTGTGCTGGAACTGCGCCGCTTTGTGCGGCTCAGTATGAACCCAGCCTAAATGATCACCTAATGATCTGCTCCTTCTGTTCTCCTTTTGGTAACTGTGGCAAAAAAAATACTTATTATAAATATAACAAAATTATGTCTTCAAAAGTAGGCACAAAAGCCAATCTTAAGCACTGTCATGACACATTTTGGAGGCCCCTTCTCGTGATGTTTCGCTCGCCTCAACAACATCAAAAGGCGTGATGTAGCGTTTTCAAAAACCAGCTTGATCTAAAAATCTCTTGGTCTGCAAAATATCAACTCATATAGACACCACGCCTACAGTAGACCAATGAATGCAAAATAGAGTACCTATCATTAGTGGAATTCATAATTGATTATTGGAAAGGACGAACAAACATAAAAAATGGTGCTCAAACCCAAACTGTATGACTGGATGTAAACGGTTCCAAAGCAATAAATTCTTTGGATTCATTAAAAGCGCTTTCAAAACAGGTTGATCGTCTGGCTCATCGCGAACACTTGCACTGGAGACGACCAGATACGGGCCAATGACGAGATAGCGCGTGCAATCACATTCTGTACACTCTTGAAAGCGTCCGCCCCCTTCCCTTTTCAACCACAAATGCTCAGATCAGGCACTTTACTATATCAAACCTATGCAACTTATATTAGCCATCCTTTTTACGATGCATCTTATTCTTAGATGAGTACAAATATAAGCTCTGAAAATGGATAGGTAGCAAGAAACACAAATTAACTACGCCGCATTTGCCTGTGGTTATCCTAGGCCCTTTGCGTTGCGTCGCTCCTGATTGCAGCCGCAGACGAGCTAATGCTACCAAGCGGACTGAGCCATATTTCTCATCCTTCATTGATAAAGAAATCAAAATATGAATGATAAACGCATTTCAAGGGCGACTCAAATATAGAATATGTGCAAGAAGTGTCTGCAAAGCAAGCGAAGTGAAAGTAAAAGACGAGGTAATTTCTGTTGGAAAGTCCTTAACGGATAATTTCTATCCCTTTTCTCTACTATTTCTCGTGGGGTAGAGGAACGAACTTCGCCAGTCTTAACCGCCTCCGAGGACTACTGGTCCTGCAGTGACATGCAGCAATATTGCAGAAGGACCAGTTGCCAGCGAAGGCGGGCTCAAACTGGCGGACTTTGTTCCCCTACCCGTTCTCATGTTCCACTTCTCTTGAACACATTTAACTCAAATCCGGCACTGGGTTATACCGGATTCAGCCTTTGATTCATCCCTAAAATTCAACTATTTTTTTGAATTTTCTGAATTGCAGTCTTCTTCGCTTTCTTTATTGCATTTATATAGTTTGAACATCGAGGTCGTAGTAACAGGGAATGGCCCCACCCGTTGGCAAGAGCAGCGCTACTCCTGCGCAACTAAAAACGAGCAACGCAAATGGCCCTCAGGATATATCGCAGGGAAATGCGGCGTAGCTCTGCTCCATAACGCCTACCAATCCCCCCCCCCCCCCTTCCTCTTTCCCCAGCAGGTGCATACGAGCCTAAGGGCCGCATGCACTAACATTTCTGCTGGGGAGGGGAACGCAGCTTCAGAAGAAAGCTTCATATCCTGAAGCTCCGGATATCTGGATTTCACGCTGTCTACCTATCCGTAAGTACTCCCACCATCCTTCACTATGAACATATTGAGCAGAAGCGAGAAGCTGTACAAACAGCATTTCCCAGCTTTTTGTAGGATCCCCTGATGATCCCTGGGGGACGAACATCTACTCTTCAAAGTCATTTTTCTTTCTCTGAAAACAACGAAAACCTTCCAAAGTTATACTGAACATCTAACACAACAGTGCTAAGCATGTTGCTGATGAGAACATATGAATTTTTGAAAAATCGAATTTTTCGTATACCCCAAATTTCGACCTGTGGATCATCGAAAATTTCATGACTTCAGAACATCATTTGTTCTTATCAGCAACATGCTTAGCACTGTTGGGTTAGATAATCTGCACAACTCTGAAAGTTTTTCGTTAACTTCGGAGAAAGAAAAATGACTTCGAAGAGAAGTGCCGGGGATCATCAGGGATCATACAAAAGCTGGAAAATGCGGTTCGTACAACTTCTCGCTCCTGTACAACATGTTCATAGTGAAGGGTAGTAGGAATACTTACGGATAGGTACACAACGTGAAATCCAGGTATCTGGAGTTTCGAAATATGAAGTTTTCTTTAAAGCTGCGATCCCCTCCCCGCGGCCATGTTAGTGCATGCGGCCCTAAGTGACAACTACTTTGATGAATTTCATTTTTCTACTTTTTGCTTTATCAAGCCCAAAATTATCATAAGCGAATAGGTCAACAGATCCAATCCACTTTCCGCATTAACCTTTCACTTTTCGCAAATCATTGAAGTGACCTCGGTTCATTGACTTTTTAAAAAAATCCATTACCATTCTTATGTGATACTGCGCTGTTGAACAGTTTACATTCGAAAATCTGCAGTAATCGGTTCTTAGCTAATTTTACTTCGTTCGTCCATAGAGTTTGTTTTTGATCAAGAAATTTGCATTTTGAAATTACAAATCTTCTTTCGAGTAGTCGTCTAAAAAGTAAGTTGATTTATCATTTTGCACAGATCCAGCCTCAGTTCTTACGGCTAGATATTCAAATGCAATAAGGGTTCAGCTAAGGCTCTAATGTCAATAATAATGAAAAGCTTGACTGCCTAAGCAGCTGGGATGAAATGTAAGCTGACATCCGGCATTAGTAGAGGATTGTTTCCTATTTTGATGAGAGAGACGACTAGGAACATTGATCAAGATACCAGCGTTATGGACAAATACAACTTTTTTGCACATGATCCTTTTCCAGACTTCCGCATTTTGTTTGAAAAAAAAGCTTGACTGCCTAAGTAGCTGGGATGAAATGTACGCTGGCATCCGGCATTAGTAGAGGATGGTTTACTATTTTGATGAGAGAGACGACTAGGAGCACTGATCAAGAAACCAGCGTTATGGACAAATACAACTTTTTTGCACATGATCCTTTTCCAGACTTCCGCATTTTGTTTGAAAAAAAAGCTTGACTGCCTAAGTAGCTGGGATGAAATGTACGCTGGCATCCGGCATTAGTAGAGGATGGTTTACTATTTTGATGAGAGAGACGACTAGGAGCACTGATCAAGAAACCAGCGTTATGGACAAATACAACTTTTTTGCACATGATCCTTTTCCAGACATCTGCATTTTGTTTGAAATGGCTTTGAGTAATCTAAATACCGAAAAGTTGTATGCAATACGACTTTTGCTAAGAGAAAAAAGGTGAAATCTTGGAGAGGTGGTCATCGCGAAGATTACTTCCCTTTTAATACTCTAAAAAGAGCCTCCAATAGCAATATCATTACAGATGCTGTGTACTTAGCTCTGTCTGGACGAGCGAAAGCCACGTTTTGATGCAAACTTTTGTTTCAAATATTTTGGCAGTTTTTTTTGCCAATGACCCACACATTTTGAGTGCTGCCGCAGAGCTTCACTGATTGCAAAAAGAGTGGGTGCGAAAATACAAACCATGGTGGTCAAATTTTTTCTTCTGATATATTACGCGTTCAGATCGTGTTTTCTAAGCGCTATTCACTGAAAAGTTTAGAAAGAAAATCATTTTGCAGACATGAGCTAAGATCATCACAAAAAAAAAGATTTTTGAGATCTTTAGAGACATCTGCCACGAGTGCTGCGAAAATTCACATCATGTAGAAGTATGGCAATGTTTTTCGGAACATTGCCATTGCGTACAACTTTAGACATCGCTTGGAAAGAGTCATTTTGAATGCGCAATAGGAAAAAAATTATGGAGTGGCGATATCTTCGAAGGTGTTGGCGTATCAGTGTGATACGATACGGCTAACGAATCTCAGCTTAGCAATGATAATTTCAGAACCTCTAATTTTTCTGATAAAAAAACTTTAGCGGAGCTTGCCCCTTGAAAAGGGGCAATCTGAGACTGTTCTGAGTAACGACGTTTGCGTTTCTTATTCTCAAAGTGGATGACCATTTTTAAGCTCTACATCTTCAACTCGAGTGGTCCCCATGAGATGGGCGTGCCATCATCTGAATTCTGTGTAGATAAGACAAGGACTCCAAACGAAACTAAATGCTTAGCAAGAGGAAAGAACATGAGCACAAAAGGGAGCGCTCAAAAGCCTGAGCAAAAAGCTAGCTTCTGCGCCCGATACCTATTTCCACCGCATGCGGCGCACGCGCGCTGCCTCATTTCGTGAGTACCTGCGACCGATGATGGGTGATATAGCATGCATTCACCAATAAAGGACCTCCATTCAGAAAAATTTGCAATTAAGCATAGATAGGATTAGTGTACTACATACTAGTCGTTCCAAAAGTTGTTTGCACTTTTTCGACCTGTCATAAAATATAGAGAGGCAGAAACATCAAAAACTCTCCCACACAGTTCTTCTTCCTTTTTTGAAAGGTCATGTTCTCAACCATTCGCTTTCGTGGGCACTAAAATAATCACCGAATTTTCGAACCTATGGCTATCGCCACACCCAAGTTTAGCAATTTTTGAGAAATTTCAGTCTCAACATTTGGAAGAGGGGTGATAACAAATGGCCAAAGTAGAGAAAGTGAAATGCAACAAATTTCTTGGGCGTCTCCGGCTGGTTTTCCAGTATTTTCAAATGATTTTCTTAGAAGTCTTCACTTTTGCAAAATCTTGTGATACACGAACGCATCAAACACTGAGAAATCTCCAAAACACAGAGTTACAGAACTCGAATATCGTTTAACACCAATTTTACGAAGCAAATGAGCGTATACCGTTTCGAAATTATCGAATTTTGAACTTTTGGGTACAGTCATGAGCACCTCCCAAACTTCATTATTAAAATGATGTCATCCCGAAAGCCTCACATCAAAGGAAAAGATATACATCCCGGAAAGAGGAGAAACAGCTGCATTCAACTATACCGAAGCTGCTTGTTGGATGAGCTCAGTGAGGTCAACTATGGGATTTGTTAACATCAGCAAATATAATTCTGGTAATTCTGGAAAGCTAGTTAAACTGAATTCCTCCAAAAGTTCAAAATAATTGAAAAATTACCAAACTTGGTGTGGTGTGGCGAAATCCATGGGTTCAAAACTTCTGCAATTATCTTGGTAACTTTCTAAATGATATTGTGCCAAACAGGTTTTTATGGTGGATGTTTACTGCCTAAGGTAGGTTGTGCCAAAACATGACCTAGAAGAAAAAGAAAAACTGCGTCGATATCTTTATCCCAAGCGATTTTATAAATCGAAAAAAAAAAACGGAAAGAACTTTCGGAACGACTTAGTATATAGATCCATCTTATTCAATCTACCAAAAATTCGTAGATTATACAGTTACATGCAAAGACTTTGTTGGCCATTGTACAAACATCGATTCAGTGCATATTATATGAGTGATGACAACTAAGCAAACAATAATCAAAAAATTGGAAAAAAATCACCAGGTTCACGAGTGACTTACTTGATTCCCTTTGACCACACAAACTTATTCAGCCTTGTGTCAATGCGAACATCTTCAGTATTCATTTGCTGTTTAGCGAACTTGCGAATTTCATCAACAGCGCGAGGTGCACGTTTTTTCGAACCACTAAATAAAGCTAGCCAGAATAAGATCGAGGAAAATAAGAAAATAACTGTTCAACTTACATTCCTTTGATCCTCTTGTGCATGTGAATGGTGTATTCGCGCGTAACAACCTCATTGATAGCGTTTCGGGCCTTTCGGTCCTGCTTGCCCTTCACCATTTTACCTAAAAGCAAAGTGTTGTGAGGGATGTTTTAACATCAGCAGATCGTGGTACAATGAACAGCGCAACAAAAATGGAAGATCAGACAAAACGCAGAAGAAAGGAATAAAAGTCATTAAATTTATAGTTACGCAGGCAACAACATCCCCACGTTCCATATCAAAACTTAAGTACATAAACAGAATTTTACCAAAGATGATGAACGAAACTTAAAAATTTTCATTATTGCTCGGACAACCCGGGAAGAAATACTCAGTCCAAATTGCCTGCGTATCACTGCGGGACCAACTTCATGTGTTCAACATTACTGTACCAGCTGGCAAAGGTTGTCAAGTTTTATTCCCTTCTCAGTAGTGTTTACTTCTGTAGAACGTTTTTGGATGTTGTTTAGCAAGTGTCCCTAAGTCGAAAGCCTTTGTATTGACTTGGCAGTGCCGTCTAGCATCTAGCAGTGGGTTGCATTTCGTGCCTATGATTCCCTTCTGAAACTGGAAGACTCGAGTGGACTTTGCACACGCCATCCAAAAAAGCTTGGTCGTGTTGGACAAGTTTATACATCCCCAGATTGTTCTGATATGGACCAATGTGGCTGCCTTTCGATCGTTTCAACACGTTTCCAGCAGTTTCAAGGCGCTTATTCGAAGTTGATATGTTAAAATGACGAAAGACAGCCACGTTGATGGTTCTATGGGAACAGTTCGGGGGAAACACCATATGTCTTGTGATCTAACCCGTCTAATATGATTTATCATCGGTATGCCTCTATAGGGCAACTATAACACTGGGAGCTAACACAACACGTCGCGTTCAACGTTTTTATTGTGACACTGAAGAAGCTTACAACAGAAGAGCCCCGTTGACCCCTCTTCGAAGAGGTCACTAGGGGCAAGTGACTTGGTGTAGCCGAATATTCGCAAAATCAGTAGAAAAAAATTGTTCTGAGAGCGCTCACTTGAGGAAAATCTTTTTTTTTTCTTGTTGAAAGTGAAGCGTATGAGTGAGGGGTCTCGTTGATGGAGGCCATCCAGCGAGAGGAAACTTTTCGGGAAGTGCCTTCATTTCACAGACTTTCCGAAATCTTATAAAAAATCTGCTTTGTAAGCGCTTCGTGGGAAACATCATTTATGCTTGTAGAAAAGGGAGTTATTGACTCGAGTCCCACAAAAGGAAAAGGCTCAAATTCAAGTTAGAGCATGGTCCAGAGAACTCTTGCAGCGCTCCTGGCGCAGTGTTAGGGATCGTTCAGACCGCGCCTGCACCCGCCCAAATACGCCCAAATACGCCCGATTACGTCCAAATACGCCCGAATAGTGTCCGAATACGTCCAAATACGCCCAAATACGTCCGAATACGCCCAAACCCGCCCGAACGCCGAAACTGCCAATGCGCAGCAAATTGCATGCAAATTGGCATATTGGAGCACGCGTGGAATACTGCGTGCGTGGTGCATATATGGTAGCCACACGTAGCTCGACGTTACATACCGATTTTCATATGCGACTAGCGGGATTACAAAGATCAATCGACTTTGCGTCTGTTTTTATTTCTTCTCATGTTTGCTGACTCTAGGTGAGTTCTAACTTTCGTGCTGTGCGTTTTCTCGTTTTTTCGGGTTTTTTCCTTTCTGCTCCAAGTGAAAGTGCATCTGCGTCTGTGTGTAAGTACAGTAGGTGGGTATATATTGTTTGTGTGAGTGTGTGTGCATGTGTGTGAGTGAGAATGCCGTAGTGTGCGTATGCATGTGTGTGTTGTGTATGTGTGTGTACTTACACACAGACGCAGATGCACTTTCACTTGGAGCAGAAAGGAAAAAACCCGAAAAAACAAGAAAACGCACAGCACGAAAGTTAGAACTCACCTAGAGTCAGCAAACATGAGAAGAAATAAAAACAGACGCAAAGTCGATTGATCTTTGTAATCCCGCTAGTCGCATATGAAAATCGGTATGTAACGTCGAGCTACGTGTGGCTACCATATATGCACCACGCACGCAGTATTCCACGCGTGCTCCAATATGCCAATTTGCATGCAATTTGCTGCGCATTGGCAGTTTCGGCGTTCGGGCGGGTTTGGGCGTATTCGGACGTATTTGGGCGTATTTGGACGTATTCGGACGTATTCGGGCGTATTTGGACGTATTCGGGCGTATTTGGGCGGGTACAGGCGCGGTCTGAACGATCCCTTACTTATAGCATCGGGTTATGTATCTGCCCCCACTTCCACCCCCCTGTTTTTACCGTAGGGAATCTTTAACAACGGGGAGTTTGTGGGCCCCTATTTGAACGCGGCATGCGCGGCAAGGCGACCACTTCACGCGGCGTACCTCCTGTGGCCGTATTCATCAACGAACCCAGTCCTGTTGGGTAGGCTTTTCTTTACCCAAGAAATTTTTTTGCAGTAAGTGCGCTCAAATCAGTGATCAAATTTTGCAGATTATCTGCAAAACGAATTGTTACCCGCTACAATCCTTTATGACAGGCGCTGGCTCTACCAGCCAGACCCAGTCACGCAACTTCTTTATACAAAAAAAGATCTCCCCAATTGAACGCTCCCCACCAGAGAGACCCACTTGATTGTATGCTTTTCTCTTTTCAAGAAAAGCAGATTTTCCCAAGTAGGCGCTCGTTTCCAGCAGCCCTTCATACAGGAATGAACAGGAATGTTATCTCTTATAGAAGCTCATTTCCACCAGCTCACCAGCCAGATTCACTTACTCAAGCATTTGATTACTCAGGTAAAGGCTCATCTCCACCAAGAGATCCTGTTACTCATGTGTGGGATTTCCTCAAATAGAAGCTCATCTCCACTAGCGGAAACAGTCCCTGAAAGCTTTTCCTTTTATAATACATGAGGAAGCATGTTCCCTGAGTAAACGCTTGCCTTCACAGCGAGACCCAGTTGTTCAAGCGTTGGATCTTCCTTTGTGGAGGACCAACTCCACCAGTGAGGCCCAGTTAGCTCAAGCGTTGGCTTCTCCATGTGGAAGCTCATTTTTACCAGCGAGACCTGGTTACTTAAAGGCAGCAGCTCGCGAAAACGAGGCATCCCGAAATTCTGACATGGAAGGTTGCTTGCACCCCAAACATGAGAACAGAGCGCCAGCATGCTGCCCTTGCCTAGAAAACTGCCCCTAAATCCGTTCAAGCCATTCTAATACGCGCGGACGAGCTCGCGATTCGGCCCGTCAGAGAAGGCATGCCGCAATGGGGTAGAGGACTGTATGTCGCCGAAAAAGGGCGGTCCCCGCGGTCATTTGCGCAAATACGCACCCTTGTACATGCGCGGACATGCGTTCCTGCAGGAAATCCGCCCGGGACACTTCCAAATTCGGCGACATTTAGTCCTCCACCCGCCGCAATGTTATAACCGCGAGGGTCCCGCAACGACTCTGCCTCTCTAACCATGGCGGGACCTCCACTCGTCCAAATTCAAAATGGGAGGCCTTGGTTTTTACCATTTTCGCTCTCTTCAAGGTGGATTTTCGGAATCAGCGTCTCGAATTACCCCAGATAAGCAGAAAAACTTTAACTCGAGAATCTGCCGAGCCGCTGCCTTTAAAGCATTGGTTTTCCAAAAAAAAAAAACGCCCTAAAGCGTTGGATTTCCCCAAATAACAGTTTTCTCCACCAGCGAGACCCAGCCTTGAATGCTTTCCTTTCTTCATAAAAAAGCAAAATTTCCTGAGTAAACTTTCATCTCCGTCTTAGTTACCCAAGCGTTGAGTTTTACAAAGTAAAAAAAGCTCATCTCCACCAGCGAGACTCAGTTACTCAGGCATTGGATTCTCAAGTAGAAGCTCATCTCCACCAGCGAGACAGTTACTTAAAGCGTTAGATTTCCAAAAAAACGTTTTCCACCAGCAAGACCAATTACTTGAATTCTTTCATTTCTTCAGAAGCGAGATTTCCCGAGTAAACGCTCATCCCGCAGTGAGACGTACTTATCATCTATTCTATGACTGGGACGCGAGACCGCATTGCGGGCATGTCTTAACAGGTTTGAGTTTGTTCTTCCCTGTTTCCAAAGAGCGAGTGAATCTGGACGAGATAAGTAACAAGTATAAACCTGCTAAGTACACGATTAGGCCTGTTTAGACAATGCGTGCAATGCGCTCTCGCGTTTCTTAGTCACAGAATGAATGATATTATGCGTTGAATTTAAGTGGAAGCTCATCTCCACCAGCGAGACCCAGCTACCTAAAGCATTGGATTTTTCCATGTGGAAGCTCATTTCCACCAGCGAGACCCAGTTACCCAGAGCGTGGATTTCCCCAAGTGATAGCTCATCTCCACGAGGGACGGTATTTATCGACCTCCTGTAGAAGGGGTTCTTGTACAGGTAACAGCTTGTAAAGGCACGGGCACTGGCGCCCGCGATATATGAAGCTAAACTGGTGATCGGGCTCCTATCACCGCTCAGGACCATTGTTATTGACAGCCATGCGCATTGGCGTCTAGAGCTAGGCGCGGGTAACTACGCAAACAATTGTTGCAGCGGTCCGGTCGCCCAAATGGGCTTCGGTGCTGAGCCGCGGCACTTAAACATCAGCCTTGGGCTTCATACATACCGGACGATGGGTAGCTATAGCTGACGATGTGTCGCTGCTAGCAGCAACGCTTCTCATACGTATCGATTGCAGCCAAGCGACGCTGCTGCTCCTAGCTGCTGCAGCCAACGCGAAACAGACCCGCTATAGCTAGCGATGCTGCGCTGCTTTTAGCTGGTCTCTGCTGCTCGTTGCTGCTCCTCGCTGCTACGCGATATGAAGCTCACTTTTTGTGAGCTTTTCTCAGCTGCTCCCTGCTGCTCGTTGCTGCTTCTCGCTGCTACGCGATATGAAGCTCACTTTTTGTGAGCTCAGCTGCTCCATGTTGCTATCAGCTCATTTCGCTCGGATTTGTCCCTATTTACTATTTTATTTTTGTGTTTTCAAAGGATTTTCAGAGTATATGTTGCGATAAGTGAACTATGACAATTTTGCGAGACGATTAAAAATACAAATGCATAGGTGAACAAATCCATCTTAACGAGTAAATCCGTAAGACTTCTGGAATCAAAATAATATGAATAGCGTACGATGAACAGTCAGAGGCAGATATCTGTCAAGAAAAATATTAGGATGTCGCTGGCCCACTTATACAATACGGCAGTGAATAGACCTAGTTTAATTGTTGCCTTAAAGGCAGTGTCCAGGCAGATCTGGACCTATGGGGCTTTTACGTGGAAAGTACTTTTGGGGCCCTAACTAAGGCACTGCCCAAGCAGCAGCTCACGTAGTGCTGTAATGGCTGAGATATTCCCCTCGAAACTGGACTTCGCGACCGTGTTTCGCATGGATTCATGGCGCAAAGCGTGGATCCTGGCGCGGAACTGCCATGAATCCATGCGAATACGTTCGCGGGGGCCAGTTCCGAGGGGAATATCTCAGCCATTAGAGCACTACCTGAGCTGCCGCTTGGGCAGTGCCTTAGTTAGGGCCCCAAAATTACTTTCCACGTAAAAGCCCCATATTTCCAGAACTGCCTGGACGCTGCCTTTAACACGTTGACGACAGTGTCGCGCAATGGTGCGCGACAGGCAGTCTGTCCCTGTGGACGATGTCGCGCAATGGTGCGCGACACCCTAAATACCAGTTCGAATGTGCACAATGGTTCCAATTTGTGTTCATATAATCAGTTTAGGCTCGGAAGTTTTTCATGTTGGCCCCGCCCCTCTTTTGGCAAACTCCGCCCACTCCGTTGCCCTGTACAAAAAAACTTTTTCGTTCTCAAATCGCATAGAAAAGCCCGTAGATGACTGGGGAACCTCAAATAATCTTGATTTTGACCCGCGCCCCATTATGCAGGCCCCGCCCCCTGAGTGGCAAGCTCCGCCCACTTTTCAAAAATGCCGGAATTTGCACGAATTCATTGATTTTGAGCAATTTCCAGCATTTTTGGAAAGTGGGCGGGGCTTGCCAAAAGTGGGCGGAGCTTCCCCGCCTACTTGCATTTTTGTACTTCACGCATAGATGCATACACACATATATGCAGCCGGCTGTGAAAATGCCCGGAAACGGTTCGTCCACAGGGACAGACGTCAAAAAAACAGCTCGTCGTCAACGTGTTAAGCACACTAAGGGTCATGTGTGACATTTAAATTAACATCTGTCAAACTGTCCCAATTGCTTTGGTAAATGAAGCATCTGTGCGCTGTGTGCCTATTATAAACAAAATATAATACTAATAATAATGTGCTATATTTCATGATTCATGATCTCCAGCGATGAGATTCACTCAATTCATTTTCCCGCTAATCTGGACCAGTGGAAGGGCTAATAATACTTCGCTCTTGCACCTAAAATGCACCCATGCCAGCAGCTACCGGCAGCTAGAAGCAGCGGACAGCAGCGATTCGCCAATACCCGCCATACCTCTATCGTTAGGTATGTATGAAGCCCTACATACATCAGGCCCAGCAGCGGCCCACAGGTGTGAGCTGGCGACCCGCGGACCTATCCAGACGCATGTTGAAATTAACAGCGACCCGCTTACCCACACGAATTAACGCGCGTTGTAAGGGTTACTCGCGATGGCATCCCTTTCACTGCATCGAGGTAAGACGCAGTGAAAGGGATGCCATCGGAGCTTGCATAAGTGGTCAACCTGCCTTTTGGGCTGACAACAGGTTCCCTCATGAGGTGACCGTCGATGGGGTCTCAGATACACTCCCGCAGTTCGAACAACGTGAATGCAGGACACGTGCTCAAAGTCCCACCATCCTTGATCCCATACGGACCGTATAGAGCTGACCTGCGCATACGGGCGAGGTCGAGCAGAAATCCACCCCCGGGTGGTCCTGCTATGCCAGCGCGGGCCAACAAGGGAAGAGAGACACCAAAATACAGGCTGGCCCGCTCGTCCGGGTGAAGGGTCGCTGCACAAACTGGAACCGTTGCTGGCCCGCGCCAGCATGGCAGGGCAAGGCCTGGAACGGGTTTTCGCCCAGCCAGCCATGAGCGCGCGGGTGGCCGCAAAAAATGTCTGAGTAGGTTTTACACTTCGGTTTTGGTTTTGCGCTTGTATTTCCATATCTATGTCGCTCTAAAATAGTATTCCGACAAAATTCATCAAAATCATCAACTTCGCGTAGTTCATGAAGCTTACTTCCAGATAGCTGTCCGTAGGATATGGAATCCCGCTCAAAATTCGCTTGCCTCAATATTGATGATGACTCTGACGAAGAGTTCACTAATGTCACCAAAGGAAAGAAAGGCGGTTCACATAAGTACGTAATTTTTTTCCTGTGGCAAAACACGCCCTAATTTCTAGAACCGACTCTCACAAAGTGAAGAATGGTGGCAGTCTCATAGTGCATTCTGTAGAAAAGAGGCCGAAAGCAAAAAGGGGACCCAAGGCTAAGGTTAGGTCGTGGGTTTCCACTCTATAGGATGTGTCAATGGCATGCTCCCTTTTCTGCAGGCCTGGATTTGCGAAGCCGCACCGCGAACTTCGCTGCGCCACGTTGCGGGTGTATGACCCGGCGCTTTGTCATTCCGCTGGATGGTGCCTTTGAGGCTTAAAGCTTCCTTTTTTTTCCACGAATTTCTTTTTCACTGTTCTTGTCGCGCGCATGCTCGACGCGGATGCGCAGGTGCTATGGAAAAGTGAGCTCGTCATTGACACGGCCTTCAATTAAATCGACGTTTCTCTTCAGGTGGTAGATGATGCGACTGGTTTGGTTGTACAGGACGCTGACGAGAATTATGCAGCTGAGCAGAAGTTTCGCGAGGTATTGTCAAAAAATTTCAAATTCTAGCAAACCGCCTGCATTGACTGTAAGCAGTTTGTGATCACATATAGGTATCAATTCTGAAGAGACGCGAGCACGCTTTGCGTACATTTCATTAACAAGTTCATGAATGAGTTTTAACGCGTTTTGGCTGATTTACTAATAGAATTCGTGGAAGAACATGTTTGAGCTCGTTAAAGGCAATGGCTCGGCAAATCTTGACCTAGAGAAATTCTCGCTTACCGGTTTTCCAATGCGCTGATCCCGAAAATCCACTTGAGAGAGCTTAAAAATGGCAAAAACGAGCGTTTTCCAATGCCCTTTGCTTTGAAATTGGACGATTGCGGCACGGCTGAAGACGCCGAATTTTTTTGGACCCAATGATTATAGCATTGCGGCGGGCAGCCTCCAACGGTGAGAAAAGCGTTGTCAACTCTTCCAAGTGCGTGTACGCGTGTAAGTTTGAGGGCAGTTTTCTCGGCGACGAAAGCATGTTATGCGACCGGGACTGTACTGTTTTCATACTTGGGTGAAAAGCAACCTAGCGCGTCAAAATCTTGTGTTGCTGAATTTTGCCGATCCACTGCCTTGGGTAGAGGACTATATGTCGCCGAAAAGGGGCGGTCCCCGCGGTCATTTGCAACAAATGCGCACCCTTGTATATGCGCGGACATGCGTTCCTGCAGGGAATCCGCGCAGGACTCTTCCAAATTCGGCGACATATAGTCCTCCACCCCACTGCCTTTAACCAAAACGCGCTACAACTCATTCACGAACTTGCTAATCAAACGTACGCAATACGTGCTCGCGTCTCTTAGTCAGAGAATGAATGACATGATTTATTTGGCTTTGGAAGTTCGGAACTTTCGGAATTCATCACTCTCGTGCGTATGCGCTTCACGCTTGTAGCGTCAAGTATACTTCTTATTTCCGGTCGGCGCTATTCCAGAATACACAGCCCAAAAATCAAAAATCTTGCTTAGGCAAAGCCGCAGTGTGTCGCGCGCGGCGATGGGCCTGTATGAAAGGCATGACGGTAGGGCGAGTCGGTCTACGCCCAACACCAAACACAAAGTTTCAGGCAAGTTTGCCATTTTTGGCCCCCAGCGTAAACCTATAACTTCGTAAAAAGGCCTCATTATGCGAAAAGAGTATGATCTTCGTGATTAGCATATCGAATAGCCCCCCCCCCCCTAAACCAAGTTTCAGTGCAGTCTTGACTTTGACCCCACACCGTATACCTACCGTAACCCCACCATGTGGCCCTATCTTGAAAAACGGATGTGATATCCGTGATCAGCGGGTCGGATAAGCCCTCTGGACCAAATTTCAGGCCATTCTGAGAGTTTGACCCGACACCGTATGCCTACCGTAACCCCACCTTATGACCCCATGGTGAGGAATGGATGTATGGTTGTAATATTTGTGACCAGCTTTTCGAATAGCCCCTATATGCAAAGTTTTAGCATCCGATTTTAATTTTTGGATTGTGTATTCTGATATATGTAGTAGCCATCCCTGCGGCACAAAAACGTTTATGAAAAGATTCCAATGGGAAACAGTTGTACGATCAATTGACTTGTTATCATTTGAGGATCTCAAACGAGCTATGAGGGAGAGTGCACAATTGGCAAGTAGTCAGAATCGTTCCTCTTCATCTAACTCCGAAAAAGCGCCAGGATTAACGGCTGGCAGCAGTGCGAAAAACGCAAGTTTTCCAATAGCCTTCTGTAAACTACTGCAATACCTTATACTTTTGAGGACCAAGAAAATCCTTCGAATAAAGAAAGTCTTTCAATCGTGGAGAAGATTCTTAGTTCAATTGAAGACGAATCTCGGAAGCTCTCTGCTGGGTTTGACAGGACCGATTCGGTGATTTTTACCTTTCTGTACACTTTGAGTAAGATCCCTCGAGTTCAGAAAGACGATTCCATGATCATAGCATTGTATCGAAGCAAGCTTACTGAGGCTATAGAACAGACTTTGGAGGCTAACGAAGTGAGTGGTCACTACCTTACCGCTGTTTCAACACATTTGTTCAATTTTGCAGAAGGCACAAGCTGCGCAGGCCGATGTGGAGAAGTATCGTATGAAATACAGGAAGCTGGTGGAATTATTTCGCGATGCTGAATGTCACGAAGAGCAGGCTGTTCAAACCTATATACTTACTTGTCACTTTCAGTATCTGAACGAGCGAAGCTAGTGATGGACTTAGAAAGAGCGCGCACTGCGCAGTCAGACTTGGGCACCCAGCTTGCAGCTACACAGAAGGAAGTGGAGCAATATAAAAGCAAGTTGAGATCTTTAGGTGCTTTGGTGAGCAAGAAATTCACTCTTAATTTCTCTTTACGATTTTCCTTTTCAGAAATGAATTTGCCCTCGTCATCGATTTGCCAGCATTGGTGATATATTATAGCGGCTTTCGGGTTCATGCGCCTTTTGTATTCTAATTCGAGTCCTCCTTTTTACTCTGTTACGCTGCCGAATAATAACATCGTTCGTTCTGTGCATTTGCACTTTGAACCTCTAACACCTGTGCTTTGCTATACTAAAACACATTTTTTCAAGAATCTGATGGGTCCCAGATGATGAAGAAAAGTAAAGACGTTAAGCACATAAGCATAGTTTTATTCCATAAAAGGCTCACAGTTGAACGATACATATGCTTATGATGATTAACACCCGATAATTCGGTGTAAGAGTTCATTCTGACTACGACTCTGATTGTGGAAGACAAAGCGTTTTCCGGACAAGATTGTCGGCGATTTTTTCAAACTGTTGACGATCCTCTCGCCACATTTTCGCAGCATTCACATTCGCTGGAGATTCATCATTTGGCTCTGCAATTACCAGATCTGAGTAAGTAATTTGCTTCTTAAATACAAATTACCAGCCAGCATGCTAACGACGCTTAGTAGGATCTTTTCGATAGATTGCACGGGACTCCACCTGCAAAAGATCGTGTGAGGTTAGGTTATAGACGGACCCAAACATATGTAGCCTTTTTTGCATCAAGCATAGTCGATTCTCAATCAATTAGCTTGCATCAGGATTGCGATCACTCACCTCTCTGATGAGCTCTCGTAACCTGTGGGATCATCCCCCGGTGCGTGCAAAATTGAAATGCAAACTCTTCCATCCTGGTAGATGTTTGGATGGAAAAGGTCACAAGTAAACCTGAAAGCAGAAACTTGCTAATCTGATGATGAAAGTTTATGCGCAATCTCATAGCGTAATTACGATATATCATGCAAATAACATCATCAGGTCCTACATATCCTTGAAACTACGAGAAATCGAGAATTTGGGAGTAAAAATTGCCTACATCGAGCTAAGCGTACGGAGTACAACAAAAGCGCAGCAACGGAATAGATAGATAAAAACTCAAAGGAGAAAACGGAAACATGAGTGCAACATGATCTTTTCTCTCAGACAGTCGAAGGGATATCTCCGGCGGGCAAATGGCGCGAGTCGGCCACTTCGCGCTCTGGAGTGCTCCGGAGCTCTGCCATTTCACACATTTTGGTGCTCCGGGGCACTCCCAAATTTGGCGCACCTCCGGAGCAGAAACTTGCGCGTCCCGGAGAGGGGTCTCATTCGCCTGCTTGTGACGTCACCGTGACATCACGGCGACGTCACGGAACGAATGGGACCCCTCTCCGGGACGCGCAAATCGCTGCTCCGGAGGTGCGCCAGATTTGGGAGAGCCCCGGAGCACCAAAATGGGTGAAATAGCAGGGCTCCGGAGCGCTCCTGAGCGCGAAGTGGCAGACTCGAGCCATTTGCCCGCCGGAGGTATCCCTGCGACTGTCTGAGCTAGTGCATCTCAGGTTCGCTTTCTCGTGCGCGCCGTCCTCAATTTTGTTCACCACAAATACTCTCCGTGCTAAAGTGGCACGACGGGGGAATAGGGGCACCCCTAGGAGCCTAGGAGAGCGGCAGATACATGACTCGATGCCATAAGTAACATCGCGAAAACAGCTGGATCGTGGAGTGTTGAATTTGCATTGCCGCAATGCATTCGCTAGATTTTGCCCCCAAAACTCTCCGGTGCTAAAGTGGCAAGGTGACAGGGGGGGGGGGGGGGTGGGGTGGGAGCAGATACATCCAGAGTCAGGTGTGTTGATGAGATCCGGGACCCTCATTTACGACCCTCCCCCTTTGAAGGTACTCATTTGTAGGACCCTCCCCCCCCCCCTCTCCCCCTCCCCCCTCCCACCCCTTCCCCCACTGCTTCTGAACCGCATGAGTGAATGTCAATCACAAAAGATGCCTGCGAATGGACCTCAATCAAATTACAGGTTCGGAGAAAAATAACTGCTTATGAATTGAGAGATAATGCAAGTGATGCTCCATCACTCAAAAAATAAATAATTCTACGCAGAGATTGGGTAAGTAGTAATATTTCACAAATTGGCTATGCTCATTGTATTTGGGAAGATATGAATGGAAAGGACATCATTTGGCAAAGAACATCGATTATGGTTTGAGTGGTATTCAAGCTGCACTCTACCTATAAAAAATGAAATAAAAACAACCAAGAAAAATTCAGCATTACGGAAGGGTTCACTTTAGTCGTTATAATTGACTATTTTATAATAACTCCTCTTCTAGTGAATGCTAATAAACTTTTCTGCTGTTTATGAATGTTTGGCATAATCCTCTCATGGTCCAGTGAACCCGGAAGATATAGACTATGGTTCTGAAAATTAGAACATTTAAGACTGTTAGACAGTCCCGTGTTTTATCCCCGTTAACGTTGGCTTCAAAAAACAGCTGATTTCTCCACAGACCCTCTAATACACAAAACATGGAAACGCTGAATTACAGTAGTTTGGTGTTAAAGGGCGATCGTTCCGGGAGCCTGGATACCGTACCCTTCACTCTTGGGTTTGATGAAAAAAGAGCTTGACGCGCATAAACTGCAGATGCAATATAGTCTCCATGGTCTAGTGGCTAAGGGGTGCGACTCTCAGCTGCCAGACTCGGGTTCGATTCCCCACTTAAGAGTTCCTTTTTGCCACTAACGTTGGCTTCAAAAAACAGCTGATTTCTCCACAGGTCCTCTAACAAAAGATGGAAACGCTGAATTACAGTAGTTTGGTGTTAAAGGGCGATCGTTCCGGGAGCCTGGATACCGTACCCCCTTCACTCTTGAGTTTGATGAAAAAAGCGCTTGACGCGCATAAACCGCAGATGCAATGTAGTCTCCATGGTCTAGTGGCTAAGGGGTGCGACCCTCAGCTGCCAGGCTCGGGTTCGATTCCTCACTCAAGAGTTCCTTTTTGCCACTAACGTTGGCTTCAAAAAACAGCTGATTTCTCCACAGATCCTCTAATATACAAAAATGGAGCTGAAAATTCACGTTTGTACTTCTACAGATTTGTATTAAACATCTACTTAGGTGGGGATGACACGCATCACTTTGGCAAAAGCATGAACATTTTCGTTTTTTCGACTTCTAACAGAGGAAAAAATACGGCAATAGCGTACATATATGTCTTATGTGGATAGTGTTTACGTGAGCAAGTTAGAATTTTTGCAGGATTCTTATGAACTGAGTTGTGATTTTTCTCGATTTTTTCGGGTAGTTGAATCTTTTTAGTTTTTGGCTCGATATTCGAGATGGATCAGAACTGTTGTTAAAGCAACATAGCCAGCTTGTAGAGCTTGCTTCTCTATCAAATGGTACCTTGAAAGCTATTCAGGAATGAAATGACTTATTGCGGTTGAAATTCAAACGGACATTAATTTCGGGACAACCTAATACATAGAAGGTGGAGGAGGATACTGTGACTTTCAGTAAGCTTTTGCGAAAAGGGTGTTTTGGAGACGGGACAGCTCCTTAAATAACGAAGAAAGAGTGAACAACTTTACTGTGGAGTTTTAGAGGGAAAAACTTGGTGCATTTTGGCTAAGAAATTGAGAAAAACCCCCACAATGGTCGGTCGCCTCATCGTGGCGTGGGGGTGACACTGGGTGTCGAACTGCGATGCACAGCCGAGTGTATACTCTGGTAGGGCCTCCCAAGCTGTGAAGGAGTTCGACGTTTCCGGTTTCGGCCGGATGCCTAGCTAAGAACTGGCCGCGCCAGATTCTCCGCCGTCTGGCTTCTTCTGGTCGCTAGGCGGTCCCTCCCCGCTCCAAGCCCGGGGTCAGCGATCACCCCGTGGAAATCAAGAGTAGGCCTAGTAAGCCACCTCTTGTAGGGGAACAAATTTTATTACTCAGACAGCAAGAAGATTTAGAAAAAACCCTGTACATCGGATCCCGCCTACGGCGCCGGGTGGTAGCAAGAACGATGTCAGGGTACTCAGGGCGCCTTTCGGATTGGACAAAAACGACACGTCTGCCCGGACGACACGCCATGGAGACTGCCTCATGCTCTGCACTTACAACGCCAGGACAGTCTCCACAAACGCCGACCTCCACGCTCTTCTCGACGCTGCAGAGCACATCAACTACCACATCATTGCTCTGCAGGAAACGAAGTCCAAGAAGAAGGACGTGCGACAGATGAGTGATGGGACCCTCATCATTCGTGGTGAAAAGGTTCCATCACGAAACGTGGGAGGCGTCGGCTTTGTCGTCCACCCATCTATCGTCCATCTTGTCGATTCGCACGAGATCCTATCACCTCGACTAGGCATCCTACGACTACGACCTCCACATCAGAAGACCATCAGCATCATCAACTGCTATTCTCCAACATCAGCAGCTGACGAATCAGAACTAGATGCTTTCTACGAAGATGTGGAGGAGGTCGTCCGCAACGAGAAGTCCTTTTACAAGTTTGTTGTGGGCGACTTCAACGCGAAAATCGGGATGCCACTGGAAAGGGAATATAGGATCGGGAAGTTTGGATATGGGCTCCGGAACGAAAACGGCAACCGTCTTGTTGGGCTTCTCTCCGCCGCACGACTTTTCCATGGAAATTCCATCTTTATGAAGAAGGAACATCGCCGGTGGACATGGGAATCGCCCAACGGAACGACCCACGCGGAGATCGACCACATTCTCACCAACCGAAGGTGGAGCTTACTCGATGTCTCTGTAGTTCCATCCTTCTGTAGTGGCTCCGATCACCGCCTCCTTCGAGCGAAGATACGACTCAGCCGAAGGCTGGAAAAGAAAGTCTGTCATAGTGCCGCGAGAAGGAAGGAAGTCGTTTATGACGGTAACAGGCTGGAAGAGCTCATATCAAGTTGTGACTGGCCCATCGAGGAGGACCCAACGTACGACTACGACCGGCTTCTGAAAGGATTGCGAGCCTGCGGAGAATGTGCCTCAGTGACTTCTGAGAAGAACTTGGACCGCATCTCGAAGACCACCAAGGAATTGCTCGAAAGAAGAAGATCATTGAGGCAGGATCCGAATGCAACTCATCTCGAGCGACTGATTGCCAACACCAGTTGCAGAACAGCTTTGCAAGAGGATCTCAGGAAGTACAGGCAAGCCAAGATACTGGAAGCAGCAGAAAGAAGACGAAGTCTCAAGAAGTGCCGAAGGGACCTCTGCGAATATCACGTACCGCTGGCTGCACTACTGAACGAAGACGGGACTCCGACTTCTTCCCGATACAAGATGGAATCTATCGCGAAGAACTTCTACACCAACCTCTTCCGCTCATCAACACCCGTGCAGATGCCCGTTGTTCCCACTGGAGAAGTACCACCACGAATTCTACCTGCTGAAGTGCGTATCGCGATACAGACCATGAAGACGTCCACGGCTCCAGGACCAGATCATCTTTCCGTCGAACTTCTGCGAGCCGGAGGACACCGTCTACACGAGATTCTAGCGTCGCATTTGACATCTTACCTTCAGAAGGAGAAGATTCCCGACCAGTGGAGAACGTCAAGAACCATCCTTCTCTTCAAGAAGGGTGAACGGGAGGATCTTCGGAACTATCGTCCAATATGCTTGCTGAGTGTGCTGTACAAGCTTTTCACGAAGATTATCCTCGCTCGCATATCAAGGACACTGGATGAAGCCCAACCCCAAGAACAAGCTGGATTTCGCAAAGGATTCAGCTGCATGGACCACATCCAGACCGTTTCGAGGGTCATAGAAGTCTGCCGGGAGTACCGACTGCCTCTCGTCCTAACCTTTGTCGACTACGAGAAAGCCTTCGACAGCGTCGAAACCAACGCCATCCTGTCTGCGCTAGTCGATCA